GCGGGGAGCCCTGGGTTCAGCTGATAACAACAACAACAACAAAAAAATGCGACTACCTTGTAACTGTCGGCGGGTGTGATCATGAAAACCGCGATCGATATTTATGTGGCGTGCGTGAAGATGTGTACTGCGGAAGCGTGGTCTTTTCTTCCGACGGACCGACCCGCAATCTCTCCCCCCCCCCTGCAGCTTCTGGGTTTTGTTCCACGTCGAATTGCCAATTAAACAATTAACCGACGGGATATTTCTTACGGTCGTTTGCAGCTGAACGTTCACTTCATGAGAGTACGGTTGCCCATAGGACGCTTTGGAGCTAGGTTATAAATATTGCGGTTAAGCAATAATTAATTAAAATACTTAGACACAATGTAACACGTGGGTCGAAGAAACAAATAAAACAAGACGCCCAGGCCCTCAATGAACTGAGTGTGGCATCGCTACCTAGTCCCCAGCATGCGGGGTTTGGCGCTCGTGTGCAAGCGCTCAGGCTGTTTTGAAAGTACCGTTCATATATATTACGCTAAGTGCACATTTGGATGTCCTGACAAAAAGTCAAGATTTGCATTAAAACTTTAGTTTTTCCTTACCGCGAAAAATGTCGATGTGGAATTTAAGCACCAAACATTTGTCTAATTTTACATTACCTAGAAAATTATGTTATGCTGTACGAGTATTGGAGTTTTGAAGATTTAGTACAATGACCACATAGTAACAAATTTAGGCTATAGGTGTGGCCTAACTACATGGGTGTACTGTAATTTTAAGAGCACATCTATAGGTTTAAATTGTAGTCCGATTAAGTCAAAAACAGATTTACATGCGTACAAATGATAGATCTATTTCATTTTCTCATTCCAGGCTGTAGGAGTCTGGGTAGAGCCAGTAGTTCAATTGAATGCCTGAGTAATAAGATTATAAGAGTGCAAACAGCTACTGCACCTAACTGCCTGTGCCAGACTGGGCAGAAGCCCCCTGTTGCTGGACAAAACCAGTTTTAGCAACAGGAACACTTTATTAGTTGTGTGTCTTCATTAGGGATTGAAATTAGGTCATTCCTCAGATTTATTTTTTTAAGTCACATGTTGTTCTTGGCTACAGTTTGTAATAAAATAAAAGAGTGAAAAGTGAATAAAAGACATACTCATGTTTCCTCCAGTTGTGTATTACAGAATTAACTTGGCGTTATCAGATGCATACATTTGTGGTTGGCCAATGTTGAAAATTATTTAAATTCTGGTGGCATTATGATAACTGAATTCTTAATGGACTGACAGAAACGTGGTGCTTCATAAGTATAACATCATCCTTGAAACAGGTTTCTGAAGTCTCTTGGATAAAGAGTTGTTTCGCAGCCCATCGTATTTATCTGGGACATAACACAAGCACACAAACAGATAATAACACAATTTACCGTGTTTCCGTGGATATGGACAAAACGTGAGACATAATTGGATCCAGTGCTGGTCTTGAGGGGTAATTGTTTCTGGAAGCTCCTGGATTGCTTCCAAGAACCCAGATGTCCTGAGACGACCCAGGTTTGGGGAGCACAGCTTTGAAAAAACAACTATCCAAATTGTTTGGAATGTTAGCCAAAGTAAGGTGAAAGCACAAATGCGTCAAGTTTAGACATTCACAGGGACTTCACTGAACTTGAAAATTGTTATTTTCTAAGGGTATGTCACGTGTGGGGAAAAAATTGCTATAATTTCAGTATTAAAGCCATTACAAATCCCTATTTGACTTTAATGGACCTCTGTCTTTGGAGTGTTTTATCTGTGTAAGTTGGAGAATGTGCAAGGCTGCTATCGACATTTAAAGGAGTGTTTTTAGTTTCTTTAAAAAAATGTAACAAAGGGCTAGTGTTCCAAGCATAGTTTGCGGGATGATGTGTATGTGCCGATTTGTCAAACAAAATGTAATCCAGAGAGGACTGTTATGTTTTTGAGACTTTCAACCCCTTGAGTATACATGAATCATTATGTAATATAAACAATTTGACTGATGCCTTGACCTTGATTACAGCAAGCTACAGAGTGCAGTATGGCTTTGAATTTGTAAGGGCTTATTCAGATAACCATTTCACCAGAAGGCTTTTTTCGTGCAACTGCCATATTTGTTACACCAGGAGATTACTCAGATCTGTGGTATTGAGGACAGATATTAAGAGAAGAAGAAAATAATGTACCCCTTTTCCATGTGTTTTAAAGTCTGAAGCATGCAAATAATAAAGTAGAAAATACATTTATTGATGTTGTAATTCCCACTTGGACTGTTGGTGTCGTAAAATAGGATGGGAAAACATGAAATTTTCCATATCCTGTATAGGTGCCTGGTAAACCTGAAGTGAACCAGACTTCTGGGAACTTGGAGATTTATGTATTTTAGTGTTAAATGTGCAATGTTAAGCTAATGGGCTTGTGCTGAGACGTAAAGAGCAGCTGGCTCAAACCAGCAGCCAGAATTACCAATGCTGTCGCCTTTTTAACCCCTTCCTATAAGTAAACATTCCTTCTTTCCTTTGATACTGTCTTCCCTTTCCTGAATTAATTGGACAGGTGCCTGATTCAGATTGGATAAATTGAGATTCTCCTTCATAAATTTGAAACACTGCTTTTCCCTTCCGATTACATTGCAGTAATCCTATGTTACGTATACTGGCATAATATCAGGGGATATCCCTTAATCTTTAGGGACCTCTGGGTTTTTAAGTTAAGGAAAAGATAATGCTGTTAAAATGCCTTGTATTCCTAATAAATTACAATAATGCCATTTAATTGGCTGTATAACTCAAATTAGCTTCTAGAACATTGTTTTCAAGAAACCTACAACAGAAGCCACAGCGTACTTATTTTTAGTGTGAATCAGAAGTCTCTAAAGTGACTGGAAAACATTTGCTTTATTGAATGGGACTATGAGGCAAATGTTAACTGCATTTGACGAGGGTTTTTTTTCTTTCTCAGATGTTTTTCAAGGCTTGTGTAGATGGGCCTTGACTTTGAAATATCAACCTGACACAGCTGAACGGACTAAATGAAAATGTCTTGTGCAGATGTGACGGTTACTCTGAGCCAAATTTAAATTACATCAATGTGTGCATGAAAAGCATTGATTGTGAGTTAGGCCTCTTCAAGGTGTCCAGTAGGAGCCATTGTACACAAGACTTGATGTTAATGTTTGTTTCATGACTTGTCCTGTAAAATAAAACCATGCCTTTTCACATTTGATATGTCTTTAATTCTGTGAATCTAAAGAGCTTTTAATGGTAGAAGCATTTTGTATCTTGTATTATTTAGACATTTTATATGATTAACAGTTGTATGCTAGGATTTGTTTAGAAATGCACAGATAATGTTATTTACATTTTGTGATGAAAAGGGAGAATTAAACACACAGAAAAGTAATTATATGTATACTTGATTTCATTCTTAATTCCCTGTTTCTGAAAGCCTATGAAACTATCAGAGTATTCAGTAACACTGTCAAAACCTGGTGTTACAGTAGCTCTGGTACTTCCAAGAAATCTTTTCTTTTTTCAAGTGTTTGGATTGACTGTCAGATTGGGGTATTAACTGTTCTGTAAGCAACTGGAGGTGGTAGGCTACTCTTTTGCTTTTATAGAAAAAGCTTTACTCTTTTGCTTCTATAATTATATTTACTTTTTTCAGACAGGATTAAGGGAAGATACATTATAAGATTTAGATTGCAGCTTATTCTGGATTTTACTACATTTACCACCTAGCGATGTACATATTTTGTCATTAATACATTTAAGTTATTGCTTTAATTTCCTGTGTTGAGATATATACCTGTATTCCTGCATTGAACTTCTCCTCTTTCTTAGTCTGCTCCACATTGACTTCACTCTTCTGGCATTACTGTGTAGCTGGACCTTACTTAAGTAATCCTGTTGGTCAACAAAAGAATAACATTTCTAGAAAGTAAGACATATTCTGTCTCCTACCCATGAGAAGGAAACTCAGAAAGATCTATACTAAGAAAGAAGAATTGACATACAAGCCGGCAAAAAGAACTTGGAGTGTATGGTCTCTTGTAATGGACATTTTGCAGGTGACAGAATTGCATATCAATTACCAACACAGTAACATATTCAAAGAAAATCTGCAGAAAGTCGTTGTCGACGCATAGCACACCAGTTTGAGAATCTGTTGTTCAGTGATTTGGCTGCATTTCCTTTTCTTTTGAGAGTGAGGAAACTCTTCTTTCAATTCGGTTGTTTTCAAGATTTCCCCCTGCATTTTCCCCTGCATAAGCAAATGTCACAGGTAGAATGCTGGGTGAACCTTGTGGCTAGATGGCTGATGACCCTTTGTTTTTTTAGATGTACATTCAGGACATATCAGTGAAGCTTGTGAGCCACCACTACAGTTACATGTACAGATATAAATAAAAAATAACCAGTAAATTATTTTTCTTACTCAGTCAGGACAAATATATTTGCTGCTTTCTTAGATTCACAAAAGACAAGGCACCATATGTCTCAGTTATTATCTTATTAACACTTGGGCTCAAACCTATCTGCGGCTGATGCTGAAGATGGATATGACTTACAGGCTTAATAGCAGGGGCCGGTATCCATTCAGACATCAACAGGGCAGTAGTTGTCAGACTGTCTTAACTGTGATAAATTTGCTGAGAAGCTCCAAGATATAGCACTAATTTGTATTAATTGATCTGAATATGCCTTAAACTAGATTTGGCAAAATACATGTATATTAACTTGGAAAAGGCTGTTTTTTTTAATCACTTTTGTAGTAGTGTAAATCCAATTTACACTCCAAAGACCACACATGATATTGAGTTGGCAAGCCTTGGAATTAAAGAGGACTTCTGCAACCAGGGCTTGAGGCTTGAAGAATGTCCTGCAGCACATAGAAAGTGCACAATTGAGAGTTCACGTAAAAATGAGTTGGGGATTGAAGAGTTACATCAGTGCTGTAAGCTTCCTCTGTCAGAAATGAAGTCGGTGTTTTTCCCCACAGAGTGAAGACAATCTGAGGCTGAGACACAAGTGCCTCCTGCACGCTGTTCTCCCACTCCTGAGCAAGACTCGCCCCCCGACGTCACCAATGCGACCATGGGAAATCGCAGTGAATAGGCGGCCACCAACAGCCCCCTTCAATCAGAGGAGATTTCCGGGGGAGCCCTGCAATTCCCCAGCACATCTCAGGAGAAGGTGAGCAGGCCTAGACTGTCCCTGCTTTGGTGCTGTTCTTTAGAGCCACAAGGACATTGGACCTCTGGAGTAGACTTTATTGTCATATGCACAAGCGCAATTAAATGCTTATTTGCATGTATGCTCCTATACAAAGACATCAAGGAAACACCTAAACCAAAAATGCAGAACAGCGGCAGCAACGACAAGAAGTTAAATAACATACGTCTTGGAGAAAAAAAACATCAGTGTGAGCCAGTGGTAGGGGTAGAGTTCAGAAGAAGCTCTCTGAGTCTGGACTCGTGCCTTTATAATCCAATAACGCTCACCAGAGGGAAGGGAGGAGAAAAGTGAGGGACAAGGATGACTGGTGTCCTTAACGATACTTCAAGCCTTCCTGAGGCAGCAAGTTGTAAAAATATCATGCTTTCTTGCTTTATTATTAACATCTAATATGAGAAAGAGTATAAATTCCACTTGGTTTCACCTCAGGGCCTTCCTTTCTTTCCTGAGCTCTGTGACATTTGCTACCCCCTTGTTAAAATAAGTAGCGTATGGGCCAGTTGAACTAATACCTGCAAATAATAGATTGTACACTGGCTCTAGTGCAGAGGCCGTTAGGACACTAGCAGTGCTAAAACCTGTTTGCTTTAGAAATGTCTTCAATTGAGAATTGCCAATTCCCAACTTAATTTCCTCATTTGGAGCATCAGTCCTTTAATTCAAAGCCGAATATGCTACAGTAACTTGGTGTATTAATGTTTTGTGTCTTGTGTATATATGTAAATAAGTAATAAAATAATAAGTAATGCTCAGTACAATAGCATCAAAAAGTGTGATAAACATCTTTAGCTACTTTACATTCTGCCACAGAGTGTCTTAAAAATGACGTTTTCAAGGATGAGTAGACCTCATTTTTAAAATGTCTTTAACCGCACACGTCTTGAACAGAATAACTGTGATGGACTGACTGTGGCCTGTGAAGAAGCAGCAGGGAATCTCCTGTGGTGGCACTTGTGGCGCTGTTCACAAGTGTGGTGTTCCACCTCAGCGGTGAGAGCAGCTCACTAGGAACTGGCAGACACTCAAAATCGAAAAGGACATCTGCACGCGGCCAGGGGCTGGATCTTTTCTAGATGTGCAACGTGTGCCAGATTAGTGCTTTCCAAACCCTTATCACCGCAGCTCCTTTGTCTGTTTTGCGGGCTTGCTTGTGTTTTTATTTTTTTGTCGTCTCGGAGAGAGAGAGATAAAAACAAAAGAGACCAGTTGTGGTTAAACAAAGGTGGTGCCGGTTCTCTTTTATCAGTACACTGTGACTGCTCGATCAAGGCTTCAGCCAGCAACTAAAACGGACCAAATAACATATTAAGCAGTGTTTTCTGGGGGTTTGTTGCTTGGAACAGAGTGATACTGTCTTTACAAATACCAGTGGCAATCGCTTGCTTGTGAACAGAACTTGGCTCTGCAACAGCCCCCTGACCTCCCAGCACAAAATGAGTGAAGAGGACCCCCAGGACATGTGCCTAATGTAAGGGAGACCCCCTCACACATACTTGCACCCCACAGTTCTTGCTCAGAGAGGAAGTGGCTCCTTGGATGAAAAAATTCGAAAGCACACCAGAGGTCTAGATCTTGAGTGTGATTTTCATGTGTATTGTAGGCCTTAGCTTTTCTTCGTTTGCTGGTTACTTCATTGTTTCACAGAGCATTGCAGTTGTTCGTGCTTATTTTTCCTCTTTCCATCAACAGTATGGTCTGTAGAGCCACAAAGCTAAAGTATTTGCAAGATGAAAAACGCAAACATCCAGTTACAAAGCATTGAGCTAAATGATTATCATATAATTTAAATGAACCTATTTAAATAGGTTTTAGAACTGTTTTAAATTGCTTTTACCTTTTATGGTCTAAAATAATTATTTCTAATTACTTTTTTGTATGGCAGAAGGAATCCTCCTCTAGTCACTTAACCTTTAAGTCTATTTAAATTTTTATCTAATAGACTTTTGTGTATTTGTTTTCTCCAAAACTAGCATTACCATAACTAAATAGTGCTATCATATGTGTATATATGAAAATCTGAATGAACAAAATGTTTCAGGTTTCCTTTGTAATGTATAACTCTTTTGAAAATGAAACGAAAGCAGTTTTTTTAAATTGAAATGGTGCATTAATGTCATAGTTAACGTGGCTTTTGTTTAAACTGTACTTTTTTTTTATTTCTCAAAAGACTAACTCGCCACTTAATCCTTGTTACAGTCAGGCTATGTATGTTGTTTCCTAGTTGATGAAGAGGCTATGGGGCTGGTAATCGTCCTGGCTCACTCTGATGAGTGCTGTTGGTTTTTATTTGGAACAGCCCTCCAGTGAGAAGGCAGTGGGGGCGTCGAGACAGACCCTCATTGCACAACTCTTTACACCAGGATGAGAATTTCCATCACCCTCTGTTCTCGCAGCATCAGCAGCAGATCTCTTTAGATGAGTCCAGACCGTACAGTCACACCAGCGTACCGCCACGGATGCTGCACCCTGCCGCACACCCACCTCAGCAGAACCCCATCATGGTCGATCTCCACGAGCAGGTACAGGAGAGCACAGGCCTTCTGCTTCCCCAGTGCGCTTAGCCTACATGGTGTGGGCTAGGGAGCGCAAGAGTCAGATTGATTCAAGGCCATGGGGATGTTAAGATAAGTTATCAAATTATTAACTGGATATGGTATTTAAATGTGATGTAAAAAACCGACTTCAGCCCTTGATCTGTACAGAACAGAATTGGCCATACTGTAGTTTTACTCCTAAAAAGTTAGGAGTATCTGTTAAGGTCAGTAGGGGTAATATTTGTGTGTAATACTTTTTTTCTACTGAAACGGATGGTTTAGACAGAAATTGACTTGAGATTACCAGTATACGTGTGACAGGTAATCAGATTCCCAAAACTATTTTCAGAAGGTAATTGCAGGTCAAATTCTAGGTGCTCTTTTTAGGGGGCGGGGAAATAAGTGAAGCAAGTACTTTGGTGTTTAGTTTTCAACATATAAGAGGCATTCTTTTTTGTCATCTTTGTGCAAAATTAAATCTATACTGTCGGTGCATTTAAAATATAGTTAAACATTAATTCACCAGGGGTAGAATCGGCTCATCTTTTAATGAGGCATGAAGCAAGGTTCCCCATTGTTACTTGAGTATTTTTGTATTTGATTCCTACTTCCATTCTTGACTTTTTACTATACCAAGGCCGTGTCCTTCATTTACATCCAGATAAGTGTATATGGTTAAAAATACCAAAGGTCAACATGTGTATTAAGACTTGGCTTTTACACTGTGAAGACTAGAATAGAAAAAACACCATCTTTAAATATTGTAAACATTGCCAAGTATCTTTTTTTAAACTATAGTGTTTTTAACTAAGTTTGAGTTGTCTGTTGATAGCGTTGTTTTCTTGATTGATGGTTAACAGCTCTGAACTTTCAGCAACATTCACAGGTTCTGCCTACATTTGTGTGGATGCTGTTCCTCTTGTAGATGCACCAGGGACCGGTCCCTATATCATACACGGTTACCACGGTGACGACCCACGGTTTCCCACTCCATGCCGGCCAGCCTATCCCAGGGTGCAACACTCAGCAGCTCCCAGCATGCTCGGTAATGTTCAGCGGACAGCACTCTCTGCTCTGCTGCCTTCCGCCTCCTGTGAGTTTGAAAAGGAAAGGATGGAATGTCCATGAAGTCCATCTAGCATTTTCCCACCATATCCCACCCACTCGCAGTCTACTGCCTTGGAACACTCTGAAAGTATTCACGGGGAGAGTCACATGTTCTTTTAAGTGTGTACAGTTATTTTAACTTGGTTTTCTGTTTAGTTTACCAGTGCTACTATACATATATACCTGTTGTAAAGCTACAGATTGTTGAGCATTCAATTATTTATTTTTTTGCATTTTGAAAATGACATCTGTGAAGAACCTTTGTATGTGCATTTATCTTTCCTAGCTAGTGGACACAGTTTTCTAATGTGCCTAAATCATTTTAGTTACAAAGTGGATTTCAAGCTTTGTCAACACTAGTAATGGTATTGCTGGTATGTGTCAGTCTGAATTGTTTGTCTCCGATGTTCAATGCAAGATTTCATTTGTTTAAAACAATTTAATAACGTATCTCTATTCTTTTAAATGTCTTATGAAAGGCAGTTAGCGGAACACATGAGCCAGGTTACATTTGTGCTCCCCTGCTGTAATCGAGATTGTACGACATTAAGAAAAACCTTGAAGCAGTTTGAATTTACTGAATTTTCACATGCAGAAAGGATTTCATTAATATGCGAAGTAATAAAACCTGTACATGAATGAACCCGTTACTCCTGTGCACAAATTAGTGGTTTTACATTAAAGAGCCAGTTTGCCATTTCCTCAGAATTGTTCCCTTGTGATTCAAGCAATAGGCATTGCTCTGTGGATATTCCCACTCTTGGCTTGTTGCTTCAATTGGGAACTCGATGCCTGTGTGTGTGTGTGATGTAAGAAAATAAAGGCTAGAAAGAGGAGGCCGTTCAACCCATCTAGCTTGTTTGCTGGTTGGTATCTAATTGATCCAGGGATCTCATCCAGCTTTATCTTGAACGAAGCCAGGCTATTGCAGCTTTGATAGTTTAGGATCAAGACGATTTTAAGATGTACAAGGAGGGGAAAAAAGAAAAGCCTTCAGTTGTGGACAGAAAGTGGCAGGTATTCTGCTGTATCATGATGGAATAGAGTTGAACCACTAATTCCACCCCACTGTTGCAAGACAGTAAATTCTTGCCCTGAACCTCCTAAGCCAATTGGGGGTGGCTTGATGATTTCGCCAGGAGGATGGTAAATTGCCCGCATGGTATTTTCTGAATTTCACCTCTGCCTCCCTCCCCCCCCCCATTGAAATTGCTCTTCGTCTTGGCTTTTTCCAGCTGATCCAAGCCTGCACAATGCAGCACTTGCCAGTATCGTATCAAGCCTTTCCGCCCCTGATCTCCAGTGAGCATTTTATACTCCACCCTCCTCCGCCTGTACCTCCCCACCAGCCGCCTCACCTCGCTCCGCTGAGCCAGTTCGTACCTCTGCAGCCACAGCACCCGCGCATGGTGAGTGCCGCTCGCCGGCCGGGGCGCCCTGCTTTGAAAACGCCGGTTGTTTGCCAATGAACTGCTGCTGAAGAAATGAGGAACTTGGGCTTCAGGAGGAGCCATTTAATGACCTCTGGGACTGGAAAGGAGATCCGGGGATCATCCGGAGAATAATCTTGTCATACGAGAGCATGGGGTTTGACCTCTAAATGTTACTACAGTTATAATTATCGAGTCAAATCTTAAAATGTTCATGCTCTCTTGATCTGATAACAGTAATGACTCAAGGTGCCACACAGAGGTTACATCCTGTGCTTTGTATTATAGTTTTACCCTTAATGTATTCCTTTCCCAGAGATGATCAAATGGGTTTCTTGTAGCCCTAATTTAGCGTACCCTTGGCCTCTGTAAAAATGCCATTTTTCTGGTGGAGATTAATCTTCACAGTGTTCAAAGTCGATAATACCGTCAGACATGAAAAGGAAATTACAGATACTGCTAGCAGTATGTGGGACATATTGCAGTTTCTAAAAGTGATTGATGAGAGTCCCTTAATATTCTACATTGAGAAGTAAAAAATCTTCCATGTATCTTAATTTATAATTGCTTACACTTAACGCGTTTATGGACACTCCACTCAAAGCGCTTTGCAGGTAATGGGGACTCCCCCTCCCCCCCCACTACTACCAGTGTGCAGCCCCACATGGATGAGTGCGCCAGTCCTCTCCCCACACTCCAGCTCTCAGTGGGGAGGAGAGCAGAGTGGTGAAGCCAGTTCAGAGAGGGGGATTATTAGGAGGCCATGACTGGTAAAGACCAGGGGGATATTTGGCCAGGATGCCGGGGTTACACCCCTACTCTTTTTTGAGAAACGCTCTGGGATTTATAATGACCGCAGAGAGTCAGTACCTCAGCTTTACGTCTAATCCAAAGGACGGCATCTTTTTATGAAATAGTGTCCCCATCACTATACTGAGGCATTAGGATCCACACAGACTGCAGGGTGAGCGCCCCCCTACTGGCTCCTGCAATACCTCCACCAGCAACCTTAGTTTTTCCCAGGAGGTCTCCCACCCAGGTACTGGCCAGGCTCACACCTGCTGAGCTTCAGTGGGCCGCAAGATGTGAGTTGCAGGGTGATATGGCTGCTGGCAATCTTGGTAAATGAAGTTGTGCACAGCAAACTTCTTGTTCAGTCTTGAAGGTATTGTTGTACAGGTATTGGCCTTGACTGTGTCTTTCCTTCTGCTGCATGACGGTTCTGTTCATTTTTGACTCGCCGTAGAAGTGTCAGGTCCACTTTTTCGGAATGTTTAATGGGGAAAGTCTAGAGTTTTTCGAGAGCGCACTAAAGAGCAGAGCCCTTCCGGTAGAAAGGAAGGTTCTCCTCCAGCAGAGTGGGCCTGTCCCTGCTGCGTCGGCTGCAGGTCCTGACCAGTTGCGTCTCTTCCCACTCCAGCCTTTGCAGAGGGTAGAGAATGAAGTGGATTTAAGAGGGGACCAGCACCCTGTGGGAGGGTTCTCCTACCCCCCCACCCATCACCCACCAGCAATGCCTCCTTCTGTCCCCCTCCAGTATCTCCCTCATGACCCGTTGCACCAGGAACTGCCCTTCGGAGTGGTGAGTCCGCAACCTTTTCTATTTCCTGTCTTGCGTGGTGCCTTTGTGTGGGTGAGGAGAATAATATTTTGTAGTAGAACACGACTGAAGAAAATACTGCAGGCCATTTGACTTTGTTTTCTTGTGAAAGCAGCTTACCTGACTGACAGCTTTTTAGAGTGGACTTTCCTGAACCAGTAAGAGCCATTTATAAGAATTATGAAGTGCTGCCATCTGTCACACACAGGGACCTACAGGGGCATGGTTTGCACTCTGATCTTTGATGTCAAGTGGGAACAACAATATCACTTTGGGCCAACAAACCAAATTTGAATGATAATGTGAACAAAACCTAAGCTTGGTCCTATAACACTTTGGAAACAAACTGCGCACTCTGACTTGAATTGTTGACAGTTCACATGCTGTGCATACAGGGGATAAACACAAGATGCTTTACTTCTGCCTTAACGATCCTCTTTTAGAAAACCGTTTCCTGTGGTGTTTGTGGATTGTGCCCCACGTAAGAAAAGCAAAATGTGCACATAAGAAACCGAATGAAATGATACCTGCCACCTTAATTTCACCAACCAGGGGTTCTTCAGGATGAGGAGAGTCAAAGGAATGATCTCTACTTGACCTCAGATTCAATACTTCATTAAACTGGACTCCAACAAATAGACGTTGTTCCAATCAAAACGAAAGAAACCTTTTCCATTTGAAACACCCTCCGTGGGAGCGCAGCCATTGACATGAATCAAATGCTGTACTCCCTAGACATCAACACTTCTGTGAACTGGTTTTAGACCAGACATTTTTCTGTAGCCCATCCTGGACACCATATTTTCTTATTAATTTAACTTAAATATTTAAGATACCGTACACTTTTACTATAATTAAAGAAGCCAGAAATGCTCAGACACCTTATGACTTATTTTATGCAGCAGAAGGGTGATTTATACCAATCTTTAAGGCCTGTCTTATTACATTGTAGCTCCCAGACCGTTATCCACTCACCCAAAATCGACTTTGAGCTATCCTTGGGAGCGCGATGTTGGTGCGATGTTGAGTAAGTGCCTGTGTTTCTCTCCACAGCCATATCCCCATGTGTTGCCTCGGCGAGTCAGCGGGCAGAGATACCGGCTGCAGCAGCCTCTCCCCCCTCCCCCACCCCCGCCTCCCTACTACCCCAGCTTCCTGCCATACTTCCTGTGAGTACCTGGCTGCCAGAGGAATGGGGGTGGGGTGGCTGTGATTGTTCATCATTTGGCTTTCAAAATGCAGTATTTGGTAGACAAAGCAGCACGTTCTGTTCTGCGATCAGAAGGGCTTTTTTTTTTATCTTGCAACAAGTTACACAGAAGTACTACATGTGAAAGCCTGATGGCTTCTGTGAGAGTGATACAGTCATAATGTGTGAAAGGCAAATCTTTGATCAGTTGTTTTTTATGCAGTTGCCTTAGTCCTGCTTATATAATGGCGAGATGGTTTTCCTTGTGCCTGGCCCTATGAGTCTGAAAGGGTAATAGTAGTTGTAGTGACTCATGGTTTGTATTGTCACAGCTCAATGCTTCCAGTGCCTCCAACAGCGGTGGGGCCTGCGATCAGCCTGGACCTGGATGTTGATGATGTAGAAATGGAGAACTATGAGGTCAGACCTTCCCCGGATCTACTTATTTGCTTCCCTGGAATCCGTAGTACTGGAGGATCACATCGTTTGTTTATCGTTGCTTTTTTCCCCACTCTGTAACGAATGTCATTTTAAATCCTGTTTTCAAGTTCTGATTGGGTCCGACTCCTGTTGGCCTGCTCTTCTGCTGCAGCTTCAGTACACAGCTGCTACAGACGGGTTTGTAGACAAAATCAATGTGGTGGCGGGAAGTATTGGACTTACAGTGCATCAACAGAAAGTAGCTCTAGAGCCATGATTGCTCATTCTTTGTAAAGGTTACACATCTGGTTTGGCCAGATGGTCTTCTCTCATTCTGTGCTGTCTCCGCAATTCATTAACATTTTCTTCTTTTTTTTTACAGCAATGCTAAAGAGCTGTGATACATGATTCAAGCAGTCAGTCCCTTGTTTTACTTGTTACAGATAGTGGTGGTTTGTAGGATTGATGTCAGACATAAGAAAGATGACAGATGAGAGAAGATCATTTTGGCCTGTTTGAGAGTTCGTTATCTAATTGACCAAAGATCAATTAGATCCTTTAGGCCAGGGAATTGACTTCAGCAGCATGGCTGGGTTGCGTGTCCCAGACCCCCACAACCCTTTAAAGAAAGAATACAGCAGTTCCTCCTGGTCTCAGTGTTGAATGCTCTTCCACGCAGTCTCCAGCTGTTTCGATCCCAGTCCTTGGTGTGTCTTTCAGGCATTACTGAACCTTGCTGAGAGGCTGGGGGAGGCCAAACCTCGTGGGCTCACCAAAGCCGACATAGAGCAGCTCCCGTCCTACAGGTTCAACCCAGAGAACCACCAGTCTGAACAAACGCTGTAAGAAAAGGCCCTTGGCTGCAACAGTTGACTTCATCTAAAATATTATCATTTTACTGACCAGTCGCTACTTCTGTCTTTTTAATTAGTTGCTAAATCTATGCAATTAATTGCTTTTGAGCAGATAAAAAATATTGGACCCTGTTGCTTAAGTTGCTGAAATTTTGTATTTTATTTTAACATTTTAATTTAAAAATAGCAGCAGTTTTCTGAAGTAGGAAAGGAGGAGTTTCTTTGTATTAATTCTTTTTTCCTAATCCTTCACAGGTGTGTTGTGTGCTTTAGCGATTTTGAGTCTAGGCAGCTACTTCGAGTATTACCCTGTAACCATGAGTTTCACGCCAAGTGTGTTGACAAATGGTTAAAGGTAAGAGCTTTGGTAGTGGGCACCTGAAAGCAGATTTTCATCTCGCACAGTTTGTGAACAGTTCCCAGAAGCTGACAGCACAGTGGCATTGAGGTGGCACGACAATGAATAGAAAACAAATTAAACTGAGAATCACTTGCAGTTGGCAACACAGCATGGTGTTTAGCGCTGCTGCTTTAACAGATCTTGGGTCCCGAGTTCAGTTCTGGACTGAGTGCCTTCTGTGTGGAGAATAAGTGTTCTCCCCATGTTACTCGAGGGTTTTCTCTGGATACCCATGTTTCTTCCCACCTACTTTGGTGGCCCCGTGTGTTGGCTTTCTGCCTCCTTCGGTAGGCTGAAGTGTCTATAGATGATGGATGGACTTTTAACAGATAAGGGAGGAGGAGAGGTGGTATTGGGGACTAATGAGTTGTGGTGGTCTAAAGGGCTTCCAAGGGAACTTGCCAGCATGCATCCAGACCATTGTCTGTGATCCTTTTCCTCAGGCTGACTGATACCATTAAGTCCCAGGCCAGACTGTTCTCTGCTGTAGCTCTCCAATAGTGGAATGACCTACCTGCCACAGTCAGAGCCATGAGCTCAAACACCTTCTTCTAGGAGAAACTGAAAAGTCGTCTCTTCAAAATATACCTGACCCCTGAGGCCCATGACAAACCCTCACTGATGTGCCCTTGTGTGACGTACTTCCTGTTTATCAAGCAGCACTGAAACTCATTACCACTGTGCAGCCTGTTAGCACGTAATTAAAGCTACGCTGAATGCTGTCTGTGGTTTTATTGTTTTTGTGCTGCTGTTATGTGCACCCTTTGCATCTTGACGGGATGCGATTGTAAGTTGTTTTGAATAGAAGTGTCTGCAAAGTGAATTAATATAAGTGTAAAGTCAGTGAACATATCTAGAGTTCATTATGAGTTGTTTTGCCTGAATAACACTGATTTTAATGCTAACTGTCCAACTTCCAGTGATGCGGCACACATGATCAAGTGTCCCTGAAACAGTGCAATCTCAGTCTATTGCACAACAGAAACTCTTGTCTCTCCTACTGAGCTGTAAGAAAGGGAAACAGCCAGTCTCCTGCTAGGCGTAGGGGCTTCAGTGTTTCTGTAATGCAGTATTAGTGTGAAAGGGAACTGTTTTTGGAGGAGACATTCATGTAGTGTTGTATTCTTGGTCATTGCAAGATGGAATGGAGAGGGTATTGGATGATGTATAATAACTAGTTTCATGTTAAAAGCTATGAAAAGTAGAAGAAAAAGAAAATTGCACATCCCTAAAGTAATTCTGATAGAAAGAAGTCCCTCTGTTGTCGTAGATGTTTGAGCTACCATGTTAATGTCTTTTTGGGAAAAAAAAACTGTATAAAGGTTTTGGGCAGTGAAAATGGAGCTGTCACATGCCACCTTGGCCTTTAATTTAAAATGAAAATGACATATATTATCAAAAGAGATTAGGATTAAACTGTGAATGTGATGCCTTTTTGCAGAGGTTCTCAGTTTTTGAGATATTTAAAGGGATATTTCAGTAGAATGTTATCAGTTCCAACCATCAACTTTGGAGTCATCCATAATAATGTTTGCTTCGGAGATGTAGATATGATGTAGCAGAAGCCATTTACTTTTGCTATCAGCCTCTGGTGTGCTGCCCTCTTCTGGCTGTTTGATGAATTTGTGTTTCAGTCCCTTCTTGTGCCATTTCCGTATTGTTTTCCACCTCTCTATGAGATCTTAACTAATGCTTTGTTTCGTGCTCGTTTTTCAGACCAATCGCACTTGTCCGATCTGTCGAGCTGATGCTTCAGAAGTTCACAGAGACGTGGAGTGAAACTTCTCATTGTTGTAACCGGCGTGAAAGCAGCACAAATAAATGGAGACCGCTCTCCATTGGAGACACGGGAAACCTACCGCCTACCCCACCGTGTTCCCCGAGAACAACCCTTTTTCCTCTCCCTCCCTTGAACAATAAGCAATCTAGGATCGTATCTGGGGCCCTGTCTTACCTCTGCTGTGCATCGTGTGAGTTTGATGAAAGCTACTGCCTAGTATAACCACATAGCCACCGAGTTCTGGAGTTGTGTTGTGTGTACTTATTTTGATTGCCCTTGTGTTTCTGATACTCCAAAGATTTAACATGTAATATCTGTTGTGTTTTAACTTTTAAGGAAAAAAAAAAGGCTTAACTTCTTTTTCCATTTAATTTGGTTTTCTAGTTGATGCTAGAGTCATTCCAAGTACTGCAGCAGTAATGTGAGGGTGGGGTGGCGTGGGATGGTGAGGGGGGGCGGGTGGTTGTGCAGTCAGCTGATTTACAAAGGAAAAGAGAAGATTAAAACTAGTTTGGGCTTTGGAAAGAAACTGGACCATTCCACTGACCTGCAGGAAAGGCTTACTGTCAGAGGTGCATGTTTGTATCGGTGATGGGCAATGTGGCTTGTTAATAATGTATGTTACGCAATAATGTACTTTTTTCACCTTTTTTTTTTAAATCGCTGAATGCTATTGTGAAAGTCCAATTTGCAGTGGTAAAAGGTGCAGTATCTTTTTAAGGCCTGAGGTTCAAAAACAAGGTATCAGGATTTGGACGGTGGACGCTTATTTATTTGGAAAATCCCTCCCGGTTGCAAAAACGTAAAAGGAAGACGCCCCTCCCTGCTCCCCCACCCCACCTCCGACACACACCTCCCACCCTCTGGCGGATAAAGGACATGGAAGACAATTGCTATTGTTGCTCTGGTAGACGGCATGCTTCCTAGCTGAGCTAGCAGCACAGAAAGACTCGAGACTAAACGTCTGTTTCTCTGCTGATCCACTAGACCCTGCTACGCAAACGCAACACCGACTGCCCCATTCCCTGACTCCACCTGCAGAACACTTTCTTTCTCTGTTCAGGAACTGTTGCTTTGTGTGGCTGCTGGAATCGGGGCATGTAGGGATGTGCATGGACTGTTGATTTTTGGAAGAGCAATATTTAAATCAAGATCGCAACATTGAAATCCAAAAGAGGAATACTAGGTTAACCGAGAGCTCCGGGTCAAAGGAGTGACATTCGCCTGCCATGCTTTGCTCATCTGAATGGAGCAGGCAAAGGTGGTGGTGGTGAGTGACAGCTTCCAGTAACTTTTGAAGAAGCTAGCTTCATGGCATCCTGCAGAAAGCAATATTTGCGACGAGTGCCGAATTTAATGGAACACTTCTTCCCGACTGGGGGAGGCCAGGTTTTTCCTTGTTTGTGAGCCAAATATTCAATATACTCTTCAAATTTTTAGCTCTGCCTTTTCGAGACCTTGACAAGCACAAACATATTACTGATCTTAACAGAAAATTATCTTTTTCTGTCATTTCCACTTATTTTAGAATATAAGGTTTTTAAATGGTCTTATTTATTGGTTTTATCTTCTGAAAACAAATCTCGGAAGGACAAGGTCAAAGTACTGACTTGAGGTATGTCAGTTAAGCACGTGTGATGTTTAGAAAGCTTGGTCAGGTCTAGAAACCCCTGTGTAGGCGATATAAAAGATGCAGCATCTTTATGAAGCTGTGAGCGAACATTTTAGCTTAATTGTCTTGTTTTGAAGACAGAAGAATGTTTAAACAACTTGAATAGTATTGCGTAAAGTTCCCTGTGTTCGCCGCTGGTGACAATAATTGTTTGAGTTCCTGATGTTTCAACAATCGCAAAATTCAGTTGGAACTTGTTGGGTCAGCTGGGTAATGCACTGGACTGTCGTTCTCTCAGTCCGTCTTGCTCGGGCCTCAAGTAACTTCATCTGGCGGAAAACAAAATCAGAAATGGTTTCAGAGGTCTTCACAAAATCCTTCATATGTAGAGGATCTACTTGTAGTACTGCCCCATCTAGCACTTATTGGCAGTCTTTACCCTAACAAAGGAGACTTCACTTTCCCGATTGAACTGAAGTAGACATGGGCATAAGCTTGCCATGTGTATAGAGAACGTCTCCAGTTTCCCATTTTACCCTTTATTAAAAGCCATTGTAATGAATTATCCCACCACTTAGGTAATTTATATATATAAATATATACATATATACATATCTGTACACCAGAATGTGTATATATAAACCTTTCCTATTTTAATATTGTGAATTTTGTGAGTTTTAAAGAGATTTTCACTCAGGGCCTTTCAGTTAATTCAAATAAAATAAAGGAGAACAGTCAATTTCAAATGGGAATGATACCGTGAAGGGGATGTCTTTGATTTTCTATGTGTGTTTTTTGTTTTCCTCAGGCCGTATGTAGGGTTTATAATGCAACCAATTCAACTTTTGTTTTAATTTTGCAGAGAGCAATGGATATCGCATCTTTTAAAGACAGGCATGCAAGCAAAAAATAAAGTTAAATAGAACAGTTATAAATAAATAAAAGAGGCATTGTGTCACTGCAGCCCATCATCAGAGTGTATGTTAATCTAACTGTAAACGGTCTGTTTCTGTGTTCTTGTATTTGAATGATATATATATACACTGGTCGTGTTCCTATTTTAACTGTGTGCCTTTGCGCACGCTATCCTACCTAAACCACTTCCAAACTTATCCTAAAGGTGTTTGCATGATTTAAAAAAAAAGTGTGTATTTTGAGTGAAAGATATCTAGAAAGGGGAAAACTATTTAAATGTGCACAATATGCATGCATGTCTGACCAGCTCTGAACTGGTTTTTAGCTAGCTCTAGTTGGCTGTGGGTTTGGGTGGGGGGACTTTGTGCTCAGCTGATAACTGCCATGCACTGTACTGCACACATTTGTAATGCACTTGAAGGACTGCAAGATTTTCTTTCGATCGTAGTAGGATTTTCTGCCAAGTACGGGCTCCAATTTCATGAAATGACCCTGCAGAATATCCAGTGTGCAAAGGAGTTAGAACACAACTTAGCCAGTGGCATTGTTAAACTGGTGACTGGTGATGATGTTCCTGGAAACTAGTTGTTTGAAAGCCATATAGCAAAAAGGTGCTAGATGTTCTATTTTAAGTATGTTGCTACATTCACTTAGTGGAATGCAATAGTTTGCTATGGAACTAATGTATTTTAACAGCATGCAGAGCTAAAGCCATGCAACTTCATCCACAGTCGCCAGATCTTAAAGACAAAAGGGGAAAAGGAAATACACTAAACGCCTTAAAGAGACAGTATTTCATTAATACAGGTTCAATTTGTTTTTCTCCATAGCAAAACATTGCCAACAGTATCTGTCTGAGCCAGCCTTAAATAAATTGGATGGAGAAGAGGCCCACTGCCCCTTTGAAAACATGTTACAACTATAACTGTTTATTTTGAATATGGTTCCATCAAGTGGTTATGTTTTAAAATATTTGCAAGCTTTCCTTTGGGTTTTTAGTGACCAGTTGAAGCTTTCCTGGTAGCTTCTCCTTCCCAAACTTAAGTTTTTAATTCTTTCTGTACCACTGACCGCCTGGAGCCTCTTTCGGTGGTTAGTCTCAAAATTGTGTTTTGCTGCTACCATCTTAGCTGTTTCCGCAAAGTAGCCTGTCTGTTAATTAAACTAGCTCGGGTTGTTTTGGCACTTGTAAATGTTTTTTGTGATTGCTGTATGTCATTTTACTCTTGTAATTCTGCTAAAAGCTGTTTTTTTATTCATCTGAGCTGTCTTAACCTTGTGATTTATTTAAATCATAGTATGCACTTAAATCCTGTTTTAAAAATGGTTTCCTTTGTACAATGAGAAGCTTCTCAGTCTTGCCAAAAATACTAGCAGCACAAAACAATGGTTTTTGATATGTGATCATTTGGGTGCACTCAGCATTCATTTGGTACTGGAAAATCCCAGTGTTCGCACGCAGACAATACATTTCAATAACAGCTCCACACTGGTATCAGTGTGGTCTTGAGGTTTTATCAGAGGCGAAAAAGAATCTTGTAGTCTTTCAGTGATCCAATTAATAAGTAATCTCACAGCTTGTGTGGTGCAAAATTTATTCCAATAAGCAGCTAAAACTCTTTAGGACTTGTGATTTGTTGATTGCTCCGTAGATGCCACTGATTGTTTACCAATGATTTTTGCTGTGGTGGGATAGTGGATTGTTTACTGTTATAATACCCCCTGGCCTCTAGGGGAGCTAGCCTGAAAACCAGGCAGCCCCTGGGAAAAAAGGGCCAGGGCACGTGTTCTGTGTTAGGAAGATATTTTGCTTTGGTACTTGCACATTTACAGTTACCTCATTTTTGCCATGTTTGTATTTGAAAAAAAGCTAATATATATATATAGGAAAATGGTTCTTAATGCTATAATTTTTTTCATTCCATTGGAATCATATTGTTTGTAGCATTTAACATATAACTAGTTATATTGTATTATATATACATCTGTATACCGATTGAAATTTTTAAGATTTGTACTTTTTTTAAATGAAAGTTGCTAGTTCTGCTTTACCGAGTAGTGCAATCATATTTTTTTTAATTGTTGTGGCTGATTTGAGAGGGTTGTTCACTAATAAATGTATGATGTATACCAGTATAATAATGGCTGTTTTGTTCTTGTCAAAGTTCAGGAGACATGTAACAATGAAAAATAACACTGTATTATGGGGTTGTATAATGTCCTAAATCTGAAATTTCCTTCGTTGTAAACCCAGTGAAGTTACATTAACACTTCTGCACTTAATACAATCTCTTTGCTGTTTGAACATGTTTTAAAAAAAACATGGTGTGATATAGAGAACTTCTTCCAATATATTTCACTCTGTTCCATTTTATCCTGCTCACAATTAGAATATTTAGGTAGCTTTTTAATATATTGAGAGAACGAGTATAATAATACTGAATTGTTTCTCACACACCAGTTCTGTTTAACACCATTTAACACACCGTTAAAAACACTATTTGGCAGTTTCTGAAACAAGGTGAATTGCTCTTCAACTTCCAAATTAGTCAACTTAGTGTTTTGTCTCATTATTACCTCAAGCAGAATTTACAATTGCTGCAAATAACAAATCCCAAAGCTTAATTGGCATTTTATAGCTATAGCTCATGAGGCACTCAGACATCACAAAAAAACACTCTCCAACAGAAGAGAATGGAAATGTAGTGTACAACTGTCAATATGTTTAAAGTGATGGTTCATAGTAACACCCTGAAAAGCATGCAAACACAAAAATCAGTAAATGAAGTAAAATTGAAAACTTAATGATTGCAAATGACCCTTTAAATTGAGTTAGTGCAGTGAGTCGTATCAATAGAATGTTACAAAGTTCTACAATATAAGACTGGGGATGACCAGTCTGGGATCAGGAACACCACAGTCCCGTAAGTTTTGAGGTTCACTTCGGTTTTGATCATTTGAATAGGCTGTTTTATGATTTAAAAAAAAAATGATTGAAAGATCAACTATTTGTTGCTTTCAGAGGCCACAGCTGGCCATTTCTGGTTTAATAGACTCAGTTGAGTAAATTAGTAATAAAAGTTAAAATATCACATGCTTAGTCTTGGCAAAGTGATGGTTTTAATGTTGACCTGTAAGACCTGCTGGCTCTGCGCTGGAATGGCATTTGAAAAGATGCTTTACATTGTGTTTCCACCTGCTGTCCTTAAGATCCAGAATTTAGTGGGTTTACTGCGTCTTTACATTGAAATAGCTTAAGGCTGTGGAAAAGAGATAAATTGGCTGATAAATTGTAATTGGGTTAGTTTTCCCCATTTTGATGTGGAGATGTGAAACTCATCTTGTGGATCACGTGAACAAGACTTGGGGAGACAATAGCCCCTATAAACACGTTTGAAAGGTCATTCTAATCTGATGCAGAAGATTTCGTGAACATCAGAATCTGTGCAGGTGTATCTACAGTTGCAGTTCCACAGCCTTAAGCTATTTCAATGTAAAGACATTTCTGAGAACATGGGCTATGTTTTGGGGAAATTGGATCTCAGATGTTAATTCTGGAATCCACTCTATGTTTTGTGAAGAGCAGGCCAATCAGTCTTCATGATAGAGTTATACTGTCTTCAAAATCATACATAAAATATCTACATAACATTTGTCGTGTAGAAATCCTATACCAGTACAGTGCTATCCCACAGAAAACTAAATTTAATCCAATTAACGAGAGAGCAAATGTCTTTCCAGTGGCTTGAAAAAACCTGCAGATAGGACTTCATTCAGGTACTATATATATTGCACATAACGAAGCAGTACAATAGCTAAAAAAGTACATAGAGGAATGTTCCTTTATGCATTTTATCTAGTTCTTATCCTATTACAGATTTAAATTGAGACAGAACATTAAATGCATAAAATTAATCTGTCGGAAAGAAAAGTATTAAAAATGCTACATGTTGTAAGAAACGCTGCTACACTGGTTGGAACAAGGTAACAAAAAGGGGGGGTCTGCATGATGTTATATATGTGTAGGAACACTTCTGAAATGACTGCAATAGATCCTGTCTGTCAGCCAAGGTCTGGCAGTCCAGTTTTCCAAGTCAAAACTCAGACTCAAATGCCTGATTCAACCTTTAAAGCCATGCCCTTATTTCATGCAATTTGCTTAAATTTAATGGAAACAATGGATTTTTAATATTAGACTGGTACAATGTCTTAAGTTTTCTAACCCAGGGTTAAGACACTAATGTAATTACTCGCATCAAATCTTCATTTTCATGAAGCTCCTTAACAAACTACATCCAATTTGTCCTCTGGACAATAATTTCTGCTTGACCAGTGCTTTGTCACAATAACAAAGTACAACGAAAGCAATCGATGCACAGAGAAATGCATTAGTGGGACCAACAACTTTTTAAACAAATTTAACACTCCACAATTTGATTAATGTCCTGAATTTGCCTACATTGGTTCCATGTAATAATTCACAGAGCCAGGAAAATTTACCTGAATTTTTATTTTCTTTAAAAAAAAAAGCCAAGAAAATAATTCCACACAATAAAATTTTAAAACGTTTAATTTATAGTTGGAAAAAATTACATCTTAACATGACCAGCCCATTCAGAATATTAAAATGGCAAAATAGGCATCTATGTATTACCACAGGCACACTATAGGCAAACTTATACTAAGCTATATAGGCTAGATCCACAGGTAAATTCTGTGGAGTTTTATTTTTTAAGAACTGTTAGCAGTCCTGCTCTATTATCACCAACCCTCCTTTGGTCTTTTCATAACATAAATACATTTATATTATTAAACTGGGGTTGCATAAAAAAACACATATGGTCAGTTTTGGGCTTAGGGGATGAAAAGTTCATATCTTCAAACCATCTTTTTAAACTCATAAATATTTACTCTCTCTATACAGGGCAGATTCAAAGAACTGAAACAGTAACTCATCCACATGTCCATGGTAGAAGGGCAAGGAAAAAAAAAATGGCTTTTTCAGGCAAGGTTTATTTTAGTGATCCCTTGTGCGCAATGACCATCTAACGAAAAGAAAACGCGTTCCGTGGGTGAGCTTGAACAGTTTGCATCAATCGTCTGTGAGATCTTGTACGAAGAGAACCTCTGAGCGACTGAGTCCAGCCTCCTTCAGTGTCGGGGGGTTTGGCTGTGCCTCAGTTGGGAGGCAGGGCAGGACTCGACGTGGGAAGTTTGTCACAATCTGAAACTTCTCGGGGGTTTCTTTCAAGGAAAACAAGAAGTCATGGATCACCTGAGAGAAGGGGAAAAACCACAAATGAAAATTAAGTTTAATGGGCGCCGGGTACTGTGTCTATCAGGACTGATGACCGCTGCCTCTCTGAGACGGACTATAACAGAAATATTATTCATGATATAAATACAAATGTAGCAACATTGCATTGCCTAGCAATTAACGAACCACTCATCCACTTTCCAACTACTTATTATCCAATACGAGGTCAGTAAGGGGGAGCTGGAGCCTATGCCGGCAAGGGACAGTCATAAGACAGGATACACCCTGGACGGCAAGCCAGGGCCCCAGTTTCCCAGAAGCCAATTAACCTACCAGTGTACCAAGTGTACAAGTACACTGGAGGAAACAGAAGCCCCCAGAGGAAACGCAGGCAAACACGAGGGGAACGGACAAACTCCCCGCAGGAGCTGACCCCAGGACCCTAGCGCCGGGATGCAGCAATGCGAACCACGGCGCCAATATGCCGGCCACGATTAACACCTCAGGGGAAAATGAAGTCGAACAAATACGGGCAGAGAGAAATGAGAGGGCGCTGGAATAAGCCAGCTGAAGTCCAGAGGAGATGCACAGACCGAAGGCGGAAAATCCCCCGCGGGGGCTGAGCGCTTACCGTTAAAGACTGTGTGAAAAGGAATCGCCGCTCCACCCGAGAGTCGTTAGGCAGTTTGAAGACTATTTTGACACTGTCTGGGTCATCCGAGGGAGGCTCCGGGGGAAGACACTCAGACTTGCGCTCCTTCTCTTCCTGTAGGGTCTGAAGTCAGAAATACCAGCTCACTGTAAGAATAGCTTTCTGGTGCTAATCATCATAATCGCCAGGTTCCTTATATACATACATTTGGAACTGATTAATAAGTCAGGTTTGTAATGAAAAGCAATAGAACTATCACACTTGAGGCTTGCATCAAGGACACTAACCTATACATCACAATACAAAACACTTTCCTCCTATATATTTGCATTGGCAAAATCATTGTTCTAAATGTCTTTTACTTTAAAGCATGGCTAATCCTTTAACTGGCAATTAAACGTACGGCGACTGGAATTAACTGGCTAACACAGTCTTGGCCTGCTTCTCTAAGGCACCATGGTACATGCAATGTGTCTAAGGAAGACCAGACCTGACAGACAGGAGTGCCTACTGGTTTTCCCTGCGCAGTTCAGGTGTCGCAGTCCACTGCCAAGCTGATTCAAAGTAGGGTGGATATATAAACTAAAAATTGAATGATTACATTTTCAACAACAAAAAAAAAAATCAAGTGTCCTAAACAGACACATTGGAAAAGGCCCTAAAACTGAAACCCAGAGGTCAAATACCCTTCTTCTCCTCTCTTCGGCTAGTACACTCTGCCTGGCCATTTCCTCCTCTCTCCTCCTCTGCTCCTCCTCTTCTCTCTTCTTCCTGTCCTTCTCTTGGTCGGCACGCAAGGACGCTAGATAGGCTTCATCCTGCTGCTGTCTCAATGCCTGCGTCTGGTTCCTCTCCTCTCTGCCACAAAGATGCAACAAAGAATGAAGCTCTCTTTAAGACATGCCATTCTAGCATGCCCCGAAAGATCAAAACATTCATTGAAGAGAAACGCAGAACAAAGGCAAAAAACCCTCCGTAACAACTCATTCCACCACAAAATCTTACTTGGTTATATTTCATGCCACTACAAATAACAGATGGCTAAGAATAAGTTATCACAGTTGACAGATCTGTCAACTTTAAGACACAATTCATTTACACACACTTCAGGCCCATGTAACATACAGTATTTATAAAGTTCAAACCCCTCTTCAAACAAAGATCTTTTGTACGTACCTTTCCAGTCGTTCGGACACCAGATAGGTCTGGTTGGCTTCCATGATGTATGTGAGCTGATTGATGAGGTCCTCTGGTTGGATCAGCCCCTCTAACCTTCCCACTACTGTCATCCTCCTGTCCTTCAGCATAATCATGGCCAAGAAAGGGTAGGTATTCTCACGCAGAGCCTGGGAGACTGAGATACAACGCAAAAACACACTTAAGAAATATTTCTGAGACGTCTGAAGTCCCCTCCTTGCATACAAATAATTCAGTTAACAGATAATCAGTTTATAAAATGAAGGGGAGATAAAGAGAGAAATTCTCTAGTGACAACAAAAAGAGAGAAACACACCTCTGTATCCTTCAGGCTTGCTAGTAGAACAAGCCCAGAAGAGCATTCTAGTGTTAACAAAGTTTGCAACTTCCTCCGTGCACAATGTGTTACTAAAGGAGACAGAAAAAAAGATATGACACTTGACTTTCAAGAAAAACTGACAAAAAAGACAAGATTTTATATAATAACTGGACATACCGACAAAACTCATCAGTGTCCTGATGATCATCTCCATGAAGGTAAACCAACAGAAAACGAAGCTCACGTTTTGCATCATTTAATGCCTGTACAAAAAAAAATATTAGTTCTAATTATCTCACTAAGGGAATTTTAAGTACTGAGCAATGACTGATATTAAACAATAAAACCCACCTGGCTATATGTTCCCTGGTAAAACACTGGATGTGATCTACCATACTTCTCTTCAAAACTATGAATAAATGACACCACATCTCCTACAGGATCTGTAACCCGGCCGCGTGGATCTGGTCTTATAAATCTCAGCGCAAACCTAAAAAAAATCCAGAAAAGGTATATGAAGAGGAATGGAAAGCAGTTTTTCAAGATTACATGTAAAAACATATTTGCCTTTGAATATGTCAATTCAAATACAAAATTGATCCTTTCAAGGTACTGCATCTCTTAAACAGAATCCAGAAATACAATGCATGGGTTAGCAACAACTACCTGCATACATCCATAAACCTGGATTTTTAAAATGAATTTCCACAACACAACAGGGGAAAACTAATTTAACATCTGTTTATACCTTTCAGTAAATCTTTACCAGAATAAGGCAAAATCCTTCACAAACACACCACAATACGATATGCAAGGTCTAATATTGATATTCCAAACACAATAATAATATTTTAATATCAAAAGCAACTCCTTGCATTAACAATTTTGACAGCTTTTTTTTCCTGCAGGTCTCTTTCCAGATATAGAAGGTCAAAAGTGAAAAAAAAAGCAAAATCACAAAATTACCTCTGTGAATTTATATTCCCCCGGCTCAGCCAGGTGCTTAGCACAGAAAAAGTAAAAAGTTTTCCTGTTTTTGTCACTAGCTACTGGATTTTTAAATTTCATTTAAGTTTTGTTCTTCTAACAAAGAGCACAGTAACAAATAACCATTCTAACAGGTATGTCTGTAATTCAGTCAATTCATCGAATTTTGCAAAACGTGTATTTATAAGAACTTATTACCTGAATATGTCCAGTAGTGTGTAGTATGTAAAACGGAATGGAAGCATTATTAAATAATATCCCCAGCCTAGCAGGCCCTGAAATGCATACAAAAAAACAATGAACACTGCAGGATGCAGATACAGTTTTTGCTTTAAGTCTCAAGTGCTTTATAAGAGAGAATTACCAAGATATGAAAAATCATAATCAATATAACACATTCTGATGTCTCCATTACTACATGCTCCACCTTTTCCCCAAGTGAACTCTGAATTACTCACTTTATGTGCTAGGCTGTGTTATAAGGGATAAGCTGACATTGCCTTTAAAGACATAATAAGTGGCCAAATGGTAAAAATAGAAATACCGAAATCACAGTTACAGTAATGTCATGTGTTCTGCGACGTCCATAAATGTTTTCTTACTCTGGGTTGCGGCCTTGAAACAATGTAGCTATAGACTCTGTGGTCTGCCGTGTTGACTTGCAGAGGCCTGGAGGATGGTGGATTGAACACACTGGGGACTCCTTCCTGTTCATTCAGTCTGTCCTGTACAGCTGCCTGAGACAAGAGTCAGCATCACTCAAAATGAAACCGGGAGCCACTAAGCAGCTACAGAGGCCTGCTAGAGCCAGCAGCTGCAGCAGCATGTTATTTGCGCTTACTGACAGCAATTACAAAGCATAAATGTGGACAATTTCAGCACAGTACGTTACAGTAATATTGCTGCCAAAGAAGTCACTCATATGCATGGATGGACTTCAGAGTAGGCATATAACATTTCAAACTGTGCACACCCCTCACTAATGAAAATTCATTTCTATGGTAACCATGGTAATGTAAACTTAATGAACTTAAGACTCCATACAGCCTCCTTCACTGGTGAGATTCAAAATGTTCAATTGTAATTTGGAGATAAATTAATAGGAATATTTTTACTGATAATTAATTGCAAGACAAATATTCCTACATGTACTGTAGGACTGCTTAAATTACATATAAAGTTCACAGTAAAGTATTATGGTGATGGCAATTCTAATCTTGTTCCTTGTTCGAGAAACACTTATTTCTATGATTTGTTCTCAAACTTGTGCTAAAATATTCATTTGGATTGAATGCAGGGACTAAGGAAACCAACTGAAAGAGCCATTCCCTACAAGCATGTCAGAACCATAACAGAGCATTATTAGACTGAAAACAGACATCTGTTACCAATGTAGGTCAGTGATTTATTGACAGACAAACGTGAGGAGTAATCCCAACATTTTAACAAAGGAGACAGTTAAACTGACACTTCGTAGGTCTTCTAATCCCGTTCAAATCAAATATGAATGAGAAGAAAATAATTCTAGAACTGGCCTTGTGACATTCAGAATCAGTCCAAACGAATTCCATTTGAAGCAAACCTTGCCATTATACTGACGTTGCTGAAATGCACATATTTGCCAACGTCACAAGAAAAGGTTCTTTTCTGATGCACAAAAGCTAATCACAGCTTTAATCTATATTCATATGATGTGCGGGGCATGTCATCTACCTATTACCAAAAAATGTTCGCTATCAACAGACTCCTTTTCTTCCCAAATTTCAGTCATTTTTTAAGGCTATACTATCACAAACCTTAAATTAGATTAGTTCTTAATCTGAAATACTGCCCCGTGTATGACATATGACTATGATTAAAAATGTTGTTAAAAACCAAGAAGGCAGCAGGCATTTTAAATTGAGAAAACTGCACTAACTGAATACATTTTCTACCATCAGTACTGAAAAACATTTCAACAGATTGGATGACTTTCAAAAGAGCCCACAACCTCATGGGCAATAAGGATCACACTAATTTGTTCTCTGCTCTCCGATCTGCTCAAAATGGAGATGAGTCTGCAACCAAGCAAAAAAAGAGAGCATTTAGAAAATCATACCTCAATATTCCAATTGTGATGTTCCAGTGTGCGGCGACACTGATCCATAGACTCTATACCTGTCAGGTCCTGAAAGACATTAAAAACATTGTTACATAAACATATATACAGAATGCTTGTAAAGAACACACAATCTATATGGAAACAAACAGTGCCAGAGATTTTACTCAGCAAAATATCTGTAACTTGGCTTTTCTGTTTCACCCTTCAGCAATAAACAATATTGAGTACATGAATGCTAAATAAGGTTTCAAGCTCATCTGCATTAAACCTACTACTGGGACCATATCAAAACATCAGAATAATCAGTCATACACAAAAAGGAACTAAGAATCTTTAGCATCTAAGTGTTTCAACATTGTTTTTTAGAACTAAACCTAACCTTAACATACAAAGCACCACCATACCTTACTGCTTAGACATGAAAATGCTGATTTTAACTGCCCCGTTTGCTAAACAATGTGTTAACATCAAGGCAATTCGTTGTTGCTTTACATGGCATTATAATGAAGAACCTACAAAAGCTAAAAAGTCAATTCACACGTAACAAACTTCCAAGCACCTTTCCTGTACTTCATGAACACTACCTTTTCCTTGAGCAAAAGCACATATGTATCTAGATTACTGTATTGCTGATAAAGAATGATGAGCTCCCGATTATAATCTCTCTCTCCTATACAATTATGCTATTATGCTGAGTGTTATCCACTCTGATCTACTGTATACCTTGCTCTTCATTTTCACTTTAAGGTGAGGGTCAGGTCCTTAATGGAACTTTCATACAGTTAATCAGCAGGTGGAAAACTATCAACTCTAATGGTTTAAAGTCATCAATACAAGGAATGGGGGCTCTTTTTACCCCTACACCGTTAAATACGAATCACTGAGTAAGATACCTGTCTGAAAATCTAAATCTCCCCCCCTCCTCAATCCTCTGTTCGAAATCTCCAGTTTTCTAGAAAAGTGTGTTGCCCTCAGCATTTGGTTAGTTCACGTGCAAGGCGGGGAAAGTATCAAGACTGTTTTCCTCGTTGTTTCATCCAGCATGTGCTTCCTGATTACCTGAAACTGCAGGAGTTTCTCAGTCTGCTCCTGAGATAATTCCTGTTCCTCTGGCGCCGCCATCTTGCCTCGCCAAACCCCCGCAACAGAGCAGACCGGAACTGACGTAACACTCTGACAGAGGCAGAAGGTAAGGAGGAGGTTGGGGAAGAGAGAGAGAAAATTCACTTTGCTTTGAGCGATAAAATAAAACAGCCACAACCCAAAGCAATTATTCCGTCAACCATACTGTCCCCGTGTGACAAGAATGTCTACCGACAAATTGTGCTATCGTTTCCTCCTTCTTTCATGGAGAACGGACTATCTGTTGTTCTACTGCCCCATGACTGTAGATAAAGGGGGAAGAAAAAGACGGAAACAAAATATTCGGGTGCGCGCACGTAATGTCTCTCATCCAATGAAAACATGCGACCCGAGATTTAGCCCCGCCCCCTTTCTTACGTGCTCATAGACGCTCCTCTCGTGGGCTAAAAAAAGTTTTTTAAATTGTGATAGTGGCTATATATATACTCGCTGTTTTTTTTTCTAGGAGACAGTTTCATCTTAACTGTTTCATATATTTTACTGTAGTCTTATTTAATACATTTTACATAATCAGGAGTTAAGTGCTGGTGCCGCTTATTGCTGGCAGAAATTGCCCATAACCACAATACTGTAACATCTTTGGTTTAACAATCAGCAAACATAATAGATACTTTATTAATCCCGTGAGGGAAATTGCAGTGCAACGGCAGTTTGGCACACTCAACACAGCACAGTGTAACGAAATCACACCATAATACACAATACAATACAGTAAGTACTTCAAAAATTGAGTTTACAGAATTGCTCACAGTGTAGAAGAAGACAAGACAAACCAGGATGTTCAGTACACAAAAAGATGTATTGCACATTATAAATATATTGCACAAAAATCAGTTGTATACAGGAAAACCAGCTGTAAACAGAGAATTCATGTTTAGTCCAAAAACAGGTCAGTGTTGCCCCTGCACAGACACACAGTGGATGAGTTGTACAGTCTTATGACAGAAGGCAAGAATGATCTCTGTAGCGCTCCCTGGTTGGGTCAGCCTGTTGCTGAACGCGCTCTTCATTCTCACAAGCCTGTCATAAGAGGGGATGGGAGACGTTGTTCATGATGACCATTCATTTGGACACCATTCTCCTCTCAGCCACTACCTCCAAGGTAATCATACTTAACGTAATTTACTGCTACATAGCCATAGGAAAATAAAAACGATTTGGGCTGAATTCCACCTTGATATTTTATAAGATTCTCTACAGAGTGAAAGAAGTGCACGTCGACCTTATGCAGTCCAACATAGTAAAACTGCCTATGTACTAAACATTTAAATACTGGGAGGTGTACAAACCGTTGAGTACAACATACATTATATACTGTAACTGCATGGAAAATTGTCTACATCTTCTGAGCTTTGAGTTTCAAAGGGGTCTTTAGATTATTTCGTGGAAAAACAAATAATGCTTGTGCGAAAACGAATTCCCGACTTTGAAGGATGCGATGCTATTTCAGTGAGGTTCCTAAAATAACAATTAGTTGTAACATTCTGAGTTGAGTTAGCGCATATAAAAATAGCCTCACAAAGTTTACACTATCCAGATGAAACACGACCAATGATCAACCTTCAGTTTGTAGTTTTACTACAAACCATCACTTGTGTTTGAAAATATTGTTTATGTGGTGATAATGGAGTTTGCACCATGATATTACTGTCGTCCTGGGAAGAACTGATAAGCCATTCACAAATGCCTGTAGCCATACATTATAAAGCTACTGTAACTTTCTCCTTCTCTACTCCTCACCACAGTGGAAATGTGCTCTGCTGCTTTAAAGCTTTAAAGTACACATAAAAGTGTTTTGTGTGCCGCCGTGTGACTGCATTCACATAAGTGTCTTTTGTTTCCACCCATGCACTGGATTAGCACACATCAGCCAAAATTATGATAATGACCCCAATGATGTCATTTCCCAGTCGCCTGCTTTGACATTTCGTATCTTGTTCCTGTGTGAGCTGGGGGAGGAAAGGAAGTGCTTGCCTAGGGTTTAGGAAGTGCTCAGTTCCTGGAGTCCGAGTGCTTGGGTGTTCCTGTGCGAATACAGCCCAGACAGTGCATTTTATTGTTTGCACGGTTCATCTCTCCTCTCGGAAAAAAAAAAAACACCCCGAAGAAAGATGGCTGACGATTTCGGTTTCTTCTCGTCCTCCGACAACGGAGCAGCCCCGGCCGAGGAGGACCCGGCGGCGGCGTTCTTAGCCCAGCAAGAGAGCGAGATCGCCGGGATTGAAAATGACGAAGGCTTCGGGGCTCTGGAGGGGGCTGGCCAGCCGCTGCAGAGTTATGGTGGGCACAGGGTCCGCGGCAGCGGTCATCAGCGCAGCTGCTTTAACTGCGATCGGCTGTTCAAGCAGAAAGAGCTGGAATTTAGGAGATATTGGTATTTAAAAAAAAAAAGGTGCTGGCTTTTAAAGCGGAGGCTGAAAATGGTAAATGCGGTGGTTTTCTGGTTCTGGGTATTCCATTACTTGCCAAGTGTAGCCTAACTTGCTGTGTTTTTGAAAGGAGAGTATTTGAGTGCATAGCCAGAAGTCATTGGGCTTGCTGTGACAATACTATGCCCATTTTAAAAGTGGCGCCTATAGTACTGTATATTTGGTCTTCTTTTTTTTTAGTTTTGTTGTACCTCGAAGTAGTGACAGAAATCGGTGTTTTATCTGTCCCGTTTGCCAGAACGCTTCATCTTGTTGGGTTCCAGTAAGGACCGATTGAATGTCCAGCAAACAGGTGATTTGTTTCTCTCCAGCTAAAGAAATGGGACAAACGAGGTGATTTCTGTGGAGTAGGGTCGGGTCTCGTTTCTCCCAAAACCAAAAGCTTCCCCGCCACGGTATTACAATACAGTATAGAAATACAGAAAAAAGTAGCTCATTCAAAACACGCTCAGGTGGGTAGCTGCGTCAGCATGCGTAGGCAGCAAAGGAACAAGTAAGAGGTTTATTCCCTGCTGAAAAGAGAAGAAAGGAAACGCATCGCATCGAAGAAGGCTCCACAGCCGAAACGTTATGTTTTCTTTCTTCTCTTTTCAGCAGGGAATAAACCTCTTACTTGCTCTTGATCTGTGGCAATGTCAGCTATAAGAAAAAGGACTGTGATTTGTTAGTGTTTTGGTAAGGGACAGAAGGTAAAATAGGATACCATTCTCTTTTCCCGCTTGGAGAATTAGGATCTAAGAATGAGTAAATAACCTTAATTAACCTTAACCGTATCTTAATCCAGGTATTATTCCAGCCACCTGCTAAGCATAGCAGACAGAAAATCAGCGTGAGTTGTATCCAAGGTCACATTAATGTAGGCCGAGTGGTTGATAAAATGTTATTTAGGAAACCTTATGTCTACCGACTTTCCTCTTTTAGGTTTTAAGCAAATTTAGCTTGTGTTCTAATAATGCTGAGCTATTCCATGTGGGCCTTTTAAAGGCTGACATCTGAAAGTGCTGTTCGTGCGATGCCGATTTCCTGAACCCCGGCAGGCATGAGGTCAATAAATCTTTCAGCAGAAATAGCAGAAACTTTGCCATCATCTGTTTTCCCGTGGTACTGACGCTGATTAAACAAAAGCGAGGGGATAAGCAGCACACAGTTCTGTAAATCAAAGAGGCTGGCAGAGAAAGGAGAGGCTAGGGGCAGATTTCCCGCCCTGGATGGAGTTTTCCTTTGAGAGCCTGTTTTCTGCGGGCATTGGACGACAATCCCGATGGCACTGATAAGGAAGGAAGCATTAGAGGGGAGCGCAGGCTGTGACAGACGGCCTCAATCTTTGCCTTTAAGGTTTCAGGCCTCTAAAGCAATGCTTTTTCAGCAGGTCCCCGTAGGGATAAACCTGGTTGTGGCTTAGTGCTTCACAGAAGCCATTTTCTGAGTATAGGGCGCTGCTTCTATAAATAAATTAGAGTAAAGCACTTCTGAGATGGTTCCAGTATCATACTATAAATGAGACCCTATTAAATCTGCCACTCGTCTTCATTGTGTAATCGTGCAACAGCAGTCGCGTCTTGGAAGCTCGGAAGAGAATAGCGTCCCCGTGTTCTGTGTGAACGTTTTTTTCTCATGGGTATTCCACACGTCGCAGTCTGCACACAAGCCTTTCTTCAGACGTGCCTGATCATTTTGTGTGGCTTCGTCATGGCCAGGTACTAGCCTCTTCAAGGCAGTGATCCTGTTCACATCATATAACCCCGAAGGACTTTGGTGGCTCGAGTTTGTGGATGGAGCTCCGGGGATAACCAAGAGCATCCACAATGCAAGCTGTTGTGCCATAAAGCCAAACGTCTGGAATGTGAGTTATTTGATGTGAATGGGGACATATTCACTGAGACACAGTCATATAATTTTAGAACATATGTCAGGCTATTAATGAGCAAGTTGTCAAGTCAGCAGGTAGTACTGTCTTCATGTACCGGTGCCTAATTCAGATGTGTATAGATTTTATTTTTAACTTCCAAAGTTCTACATATGGTTCTGTACTCAGTCATTTAAAAGTATGTTGTTGTAAAAAGGCTTAAGATGTTGCCGTCTGTGATCTTGATCTGTATCTTTTATAAACTGAAAAATATAGAGGTTGCTATAGTTCAAGTAATGGCCCATTGAAGGGTTTTTGCTGTTGAACTGGCTTGACAACAGTTGGGTAGACCTGCTAAACTACATTTCATTCAGAGGAGGTGTCTAGTGAGGCTGTGAAAGACCTTAGAGTAAGATATAGGTTAACTTTTTACAATATATATTTTTTTTAATTTGAGGTTCTTCCATCTAAAATTTCCCCCATAGCCCTTAGAGTGGATGTGTTTAAAACAACATACTAAATGGAAGTAAGGTGGAATTTGTTCAGGATGTGATCTGAACCCTAGGAGACCTCTGACAACCTAGAAGCAAAAGGAGTTATTTGATAGGGTCATTTTAGCAAGCATGCAGAAGAAGTGTGTTCAGATATAGATTATTCCACAAGAATTGCTGTAAGTGACCTTATTTGTGTTCATGGCTGTTTGGCTTCATTTTTGATTTTGCCTTTTATGGATTCCGTTCTTTTGCCAGTCCCATTATCGAAACGCTATTCCATTAATCTGATACCAGATCCTGCTTCATTAGCACACTCGACAGCGTCTTGTCTGTCCCTGCTGTAACTAACTGTATGTGTATTTCTCCGAGACAACAGAAAGTTGTCAGCCTCTAGGATAATAACCCTCAAGGTCCCTGCTACAGACTGTATAAACATGAATTTATTTATTAAAAACTGTACCACATAATCATTTTTGTTTTGCAGATAGCTTTGGAGGAGAATCTGCTGCTACAGTAAATGGTGATTTGTTTCAGGTTGGTATTTACTGATTTTTAGACTGTAAAGTACGATTTAGTTCGGCTTTTTTAATTTACAAATGTATTTTTTAAGCGAAATTGCAGCAGATTTGTGAGACTTACACAATTTTGTTTGCGACTGATGGTCTCAGTATTTCATTTATTGTTTTAATAGGGTCACTTGCCTCAAGATCCGAGATATCATTGCATATCATCCATTTTCATTGCTTGCTTAGACTTGCCCAGATGTCTACCTCTTAAGCCCCTCTTTTAGTCCCCATTCCCATTCTCTTGTCATCTTTCGTTCTTTTTTTTACCTGCTCCTTCATTTTGTATCCCTCCTCTCTCATCCCCCCCCACACACGTTAAGATGGCTTCTCAGCCAAAATGTTAAGAACTCAAGAAGGTATACAAATGAGAGGGGGCATCTCGTCCAGCCATTTCCTGAGTGAAGCAAGGGTTTTGGCTTCAACCCCATGGCCAGGTAGCTTGTTATCTATTCCCACATCCCTCTGGGATAAAGAAATGTTGTTTTTTCTTCTTCTATCCCACGTGGAATTAACCCTTCTTATTCAATTTCATTCATATTACTAGCTTTACATTTTCCTGTTGCAAAAGATAACTCTGCAGCCAGAGAACGCAAACTTTCTTTCTCCTTGTGGAGAGACACCATATGTTTCAGCTGAAAAACCTGAATAGAGCCCACCTGCTGGGAACATCCTACAGCTCTGTTTAACCATCCAGGGAAAACAACTGTGCAGTGAAAGGTTTACTTAACATGCTTTCCTCCCTGAAGTCACAATCAAGAGCCATACACTCCAAATAGCCAGTTTGGAACACACATCACTGATTTCAAGAAGCAAACACTTCTCAGATTGTAATAAGGGACTTCACATAACAGCAGGCTCTAAGTGCTTTGTTGGTTTGTTGGTTTGCTTTGCTCTGAGCCGAGGATGAAACCAGTGAGATGTACTTAGCTCCTTTCTTTACCACATGGTTCTTTTATCATTGTATTTATTAGTCGGTTGAAACGGCTATATAGAAAATGTTTATAAAAAATAAAATTTAGAATCATGCCCTATGGCAATCTGAGGAAAATGGAAAAATAGACTCAAAATAGACTAAGTGGAGGGCAAAAAGTACTGGTATTTTAAGATTGTTGAAGTTAATGTTAAAATGAGATTATCTTGAAATCAAACAATTAAGGATATTTTTTTAATTTAGCAGCTAATGAAATCCGCGGGAGTCTCTGTTGGTGACATCGGTGGATTTGAAACTACTCTTGCACCTGAAGAAAAAGGATGTTATAATATTTTCTGTTCTTCCCAGGCTAATTTCACACGTTCCCTTTGAGAAAGTATTCCAACAGCTACCAGTGAGATTAAGAATATGACTGAGAAGGAAACCGTTTTGGGTTTTTTTTTCCAGCTTAAAATATTAAGACGAAAATGGTGCATTTCAGCACGCCTGAATCAAACTTGAAGCTCTTTTTTGTGGCCAGGTGTTATGACTGAAGTAATGTGTGTCTTGTTCTAAAGTATTTGTAAATCAAATGACCTTCTTAAACTGCAAGAGGTGGGGGCCGAGAGCAGGTAAAATGTAAAACGACAGCTGTCATCATTTTAGCGGATTTTGAGACTGGCTGTCTTCTGTTTTAAGGAGACCAATGGCCCCACTGACAGCTATGCCGCCATAGCACGAGTGGACCAGCAGAGGCAGGAGCCCGAGAGCCTACGCAAATGGAGAGAAGAGCAGAAAGCCAGACTGGAGGAGCTAGGTAACAAGAGGGACACAGGATCATACCCTGATGCCTCCAAGACTAAATGGGCATCCTAGTTTGTAAGCCTGATTGCAGTGGGTTATGAAAGCCTTTGTGCTGCAGTAGTATGTTTTTTCCATTCAAGTAAATCGGTATGTCTTAAGCCCCCCCCCCCCCTTTGCTGATGAAGCTAATCCGTTGTCTCTTGCGGATGTGCAAGGTCAGATGTTAACCTCTTTTGGCCGTGACCACAGGACGAGGCTCTTGTGGGGGGGCCGAGCGCGCTTCCTCAGGGCTGTCAGCGCCCGACTGGTGCGCAGCCTCTCATGTTGAACTCCTGCCGCAGACTCGGCGTCCCGGGCCGCAGAAACGGAGTGGAAAGAGAAGGCGAAGAAGGAGCTGGAAGACTGGCACGTGCGGCAGAACGAGCAGATGGAGAAGAACAAGGCCAACAACAGGTAGGGCCGCCACGCCTCTTTCACGGTCCGGCGCTGTGAGGGACGCCGGCGGCTGTCATCCCAGTTCATGGGCCCAGTGCCTTCGGTAATGTTGGCATCCATGGTTTGATGTTCTGCCCATGTGTCACGGGCGGGAAAAGCACTTTTCCATTCTGCCGGGCTGGAAAATATGACACTAACCTCGGGAACGAAACCAAAAGCAAGATCATTTCTTTACTGACCTACTGTTTACTGTTTGGAAAATCCTGTCCTGAAGAACGGTTAAATCTGATATCTTAATAGTTACAACTTCACATTCCCAGATCCTGCAGCTCTGACAATATAGCTAACCCTAGCTGTGTAGCTAATAGCCAGTCTAGCTAATTGAGGTAACAGCAGTACAAATCCCGACGGTACTCTTAAACTAGTTGTAGAATGGTTACCTTTTTTTTTTCCCCTGAATTTTAAGAAATGTGTTTTCCATGGTTAGGATCCACCAGACTGCAAGGAGGCAGAAAAATGAAGTATGCAGTGTGTATGAAAAAAAAACGTTCAGCTATTTTGGATAAATGGAAACAAAAGTGTAAACAATGAAAAGGTCCAACTTTGTCTTGTGTACATCCTCACATTTGAATGCATTCCTGTGTAAAATTATTTCACCATGATGCTAAAAATGAATTTGTATCCTCATGGTTTTTTTGGCCAATTATATGTCAGATTTATTACATACATCTATTTGCATATGGTTTCTCTTTACTAACTACAACCTTCTTTTATATTTTTCAGCAGACTTTCTCCATCTGTTGCACGGTATCTGTTTGTAACTTTAAATCTATATTTCTGTGTTTTCCCCTCAATAACAGCGAGAGCACCTCTCCCTTCTATGTCTCTCTAACCGTGGCAGGTGCTGCCCACGTGTTGTGTGAAACTGACGCTTTTTTTCTCTGTCTTTCGCCTCCTTTCATCTCTCTCTGGACTAACCCGCATGTGCGCTAGGATTGCTGATAAGGCTTTCTACGAGCAGCCCAACGCTGAGGCGATAGGCTACGTGTACGTGTCCAACCTTTCATCTCTTCTGGGTTTCCAATTGCTGAATCCCCCTTTGTACAGAAAATGCATGCTAGATCTTACTGGTAATGAGAACCAAAAGATCAGTGCAGTCACTGAATATGTTAAAGACCGTTTGTAGATCGTCTAAAATTCTTTAGAGAGCTCCTTATCCTTATTCTCTTCTTTAGTCAGGACTGTTTTAATCTTGATGTTTTTGGAACGTGTGATGTGAATTCTAGGTAAAAAATCTAGGCATGTTTTGTATTTGGAGATACACTTGGAGAAGTGTCTAGATTCCACTCCAGATTCACACAGCGTTGTGAATACTTTCCCCGTTAAACTGAGTGGGTTGGCGAGACATTGAGTTTTTTTCTACCTGATCTGGTGGACTTGTCTATAAGTAAAGTGCTTATATAAAGACAAACAATAATAGAGATGATAGGCAGGCCTTGCATCATCAGCGTTTTACTCTGACATTTTTGGCTTTTTTTAATGTTCCGTTGAATGTGTTCTGATTGTTGATGCACAGTAGATTCTTTGCAGTGGCAACTAAGCCAGAACAGTTTAGTTTCTAAAAGTAGTACCTCCTTTTGTTACCGCTAGAGGCCGCCACTACTTTAACCATATTTTACCTTCCTATATAGACTCATCCAGTGCAGCGTAACAAAAAAAAAACTGCATTTTGATTCTCAAACCGAAATGAGCCAGTAGGATACATTTGCCATTTGAAGAATTTACTCATGCAGTGCTAGTCTGAGTCCCAATCATTTCTTGCAAGATTCTTCAGAATCTGGCATACTGAAATTGTTCATTTTTAGATTGTTTCCTAACTTCATTTTGTGCTTCAAGTTTTGCATTGTCTTTTCATTAGATTTGCTTTTTTTGATAAACGCATATAATTATCGTTTAAAAATAACAAAATATGTTGCGTACATGTGTAAGTATAAGCGTAAGCAACAGAGATCAAGGTTAGTCTTTGATTTGTTTGTTGCAGACCTGAGTTTGCAGTTATCATCCACGTCTCTTATCTCATGCACACACAGTAGCATTTCAGTTTGCATGAAGCACTATTCCAGATTGGATTGGATTTCTTCTTTTGATTTTTTAACATGCAGTTCCTTTCATCTGCTGTGCACCTCATCACTTGTAATGGACTGGTGAACATAGAAAACAGAAGCCATAAGCCAGTGAATCCCAGCGATGCTCATGTGTAATATTGTTTTCTAAAGTGTAGATACAGCATGTGTGATTATGCATCTTGCTTTTCCCTCAGAGAAGTAGCTCATGCATTCACACATTCTTAATTGGATCATCTAGTTGGGCTCTGTGAGCGTGTGGCTGGTCTGGATTGGGGGTGGACTTGCACGCATCTTTCTCAGTCTTTCCTTGTCTTCACTGCCTCCTTCTATATGGAAAGGGACTGTCAGTTTGATTTGGGAACAGCGTGACGAGCTGATGAAATAAAGATGCGCAAGACCAAATCTCTGTTTAGGAAATATGTGAATTTAATAAATATAGGTGTCATAAGAAGTTTTGTGTTTTAAAAGGGCTGTTTTTCTTTCCAGTGAGTTAATTGAAATAATATTTGTTAAAATTTGAGTATTGTTTTTTTAGGTGTCTATTTAATAATTGCAAGTCCCTTTCAGTATAGTTGGTCAAATGCATCTTTTTGTTTGTGGATGGTGCCTTTTTGAAATCTGGAGCACAAGATATCAGAAACTGTATACACCCAGACTATGTACAGACACTGTTAACCTTGCATGGGAGGATAAGCAAAATCTGTGGATATGATTATATTCCTATGTTTTGTTTTACTCTTATTACCTCGAAGTCTTTGTTTGTGGCCAGTATTATTTAATTAACAGTATGTAGCTTTTGATAAAAAAATCCAATAACCTGAGCCCTTGATTGGGTTTGAGGAAGAGGAAACAAAAACAAACTGCCAACATACATCTGTTTCATTTTTTTAAATTTCCATTTGCCTTATGTACATATTTACATTTACATCTTCAGAAAATGTGAAACGTAGTTACAGTGTGTATTACTGAGCATTTGTTTCAATAGTGCTTTCAAATACACAATTACAGCATGCTTGTGTACATGTACGGTGTATACATATATACTATATATAGAAAATTCTGCCTTATCAGGCTTATAAATCAGTTGCTTTCTGGTCAAGCAAGAATGGCTTTGTATTTCAGTAAGTGTTTTATTCGAAGGGTGATGCAGAACTAAGGTAGGCCTCTATATTTAAATCAGATGATTTCTTGCAACTCCTTGTCTTTACGAAGGTGTGGCACTCCCTAATATGGTAACTCTAGGATTAATAGCAACTCCTACTCATGAATTTACAGATGAAGTTTTTTAAAAATATATTTTTGCAGAACATAGTTGTGAAGTTGTTTATCTGGCACTACATTTTGATTATTTGTACAACTTTTAATTCCCTGTGAAGTATAGTAGTTAGAAGTTTGTCCTCGGAGTTATGCAGACTTTTGTTAGTTCAGATGGACATTGTGTTCTCATCAGTGCTGTTACAGTGTGGGCTAAAACTGGGGGAGTTCCTGACTAGATAGATAAGATGGGGATTCCTAACCATCAGAAAACCGTAGAGCAGTGTGTGGCCATTGGGGAAGTGGCAGGCCTCTAGGTTGTCCCTTTGTGACCAGATTTCTCTACCTTCCCGTGTGTCTGCACATGCATGAGAGAGAGAGTGTGCCTGCAGCACAGCTGTGGAGTCCTGAAAGTAAAGAAGCTCTTCCCTGTCTCCCCTGTGCTTCCCTTAGGGCATCGGAAGAGGCCTTCCTGAAGGAATGTGATGAAGACTCCCCGGGATCAGAGTGGGAGAGGGTCGCACGGCTCTGTGACTTCAACCCCAAGACCAACAAGCAGTCCAAGGACGTGTCCCGCATGCGCTCTGTGCTCATATCCCTCAAACAGACGCCCTTGGTCCGCTAGGCCTGGGCTACAGTGTCTCACATACCCCCCAGTCACACCCCTTTCCTCCTCCTGTAGTACGAGCTTTGCCACCCATCGTCTGGATCAAGGAAAGCCAATCTGTTACAAGTTTTTTTTTCTTTCAAGCACCTTAACCTTTTGATCCCTTCACTTATGGATGCAGTATTCCCTTTTCTTGTCCCCCCCCCCTCCCAATTTTCACGACTCGCTCCATCTCCCCTTTCCCGATCTAGTCTCCTTCAGCGTGATTCTGTCGTGCTGTTTTGACCATTGTAGAGAAAAAGCAGAGCGGTGACACTCCCTGTCTGGAAATCCCTGTGCTCACAGAACAGCCATCCGATTCCGGGCGTCTTCTGGGACAGTAACATTTTCATCCAGGAGATGGAGGTGTTGGACAATAAATTGAGGCAGATTATTTTTCTTTATTTAAATACATCCTTTTCCACAGCATTTTTGTTTTACTGTTCCTTGACCAGGTGCCTCTCCTTCACTTTTGAGATACTTGTGGTTAAAAAGTCAATTCCACAGGGTCCTGATTATTTGACTGATGTACTGCATCTATAAGTGTTCTTTTTGCCACCATTTTCCTCTCGTGTACTGGTTTCTTGTCTGTCAGATTCACCAGTGCCATACGCTGCTATAGATTCTCCCTTCTTTTGCCTTCCGCAGTATCACTGGGATTTGTGCTTTGCAACAGTAGGTTAAGTGGTGTATTACTGTCTTCTGTTTAGTAGCGCAAGATCACATAAGAAAAATAATCTGTTTTTACAGATTTATCTGTGCCACAACCCCCCATTCTGCTGTTTGCCATTCCTTCACGAAGCTGACACTTCACACAAGTCCTTGCATCATGTGGTGCTTTGCTTTTAACCGGGTTTGCTGCTTAAATATATAAGAAAACCATCCATTTAATACTGTTTTCCAGGTGATAATGTTCAGAACAGGAGTGAATTGTAAAGATATACCTCAGCTCTGCAAACAATACTAGACATTTGTTGGGTTTTTTTTGAGTCCTAACTTGAAGACGTCCTGAAATGTGTACCTTGTCTGGGTTTCAGGGAGGGTAGCTCCTGGTGATGATTTAAAAAACTGTTATAAGCTACTTCTCCGTATACCTTATTAAAAATGATCTTACAGTTGGATGAAGCACTAAATTGAGATGTACTGCATTACTGCAGATGCACTGTCATAGCAAAGACATCCTAAAGATGTAAATCTTAAACCGCTGTAGTGTCACTCTAAAAACTTCAGTCCCCTTACCACCATAATGAGACTGCCCTTTCCATGATGATTGTGCAGGCAGTTCATAATGTTACATGCAGAGAGGCCAGCAACTGAGCTACAGGATTTAATGAGCAAGGCCTACTTTTATTAACAGCAAAAGGTCATTGTCCACCATAGGGGGTCAGAATACATGAAAATTATTGTCTGTTGCTGGTTTCCCTGTTCTTGGTGCATGCATCGCCACTGTCTCTTTCACCAAAGCCTAAGAGAACTTACAGCTAATTTTAACTTCTGGAACTTCTTTGATTTCTTTGCATCTGTTCTCTTGTAAGAGCTCAGCATCTTAACACCTTAGCATTTTGGTCGAAGGGCTTTAAAACTCACCTCATTATTAGGAAGTTGTGAATATCAGAGAAAACCTGGACCTTAAGAACAACCTCAGTGCCACCCTGCGCGTGCCATAGTCTAAAACTCAGTTCTAGAGTGGCATCGGTCTCATTATGACCTGGTGTCAGTCAATAAGGTTACAAATGAAAAGGTCTGGGCTGATCGGAAACTGTCAAGTATGGTTTAACTGTTTTTTTTAATGTTCTGTTACAGAGTATTGTGTGGCCTTTCCAGTAACCTCGCTCCTGTACTGCCAAAATGTTAGTGCCTCTTAAAACCCCAAGATCTCGGTTTCCTTTTTTTTCAGCAGATATGTCCTCTTCTCTCCCTTGTGTTAAGAAACATCAGTTTCCATTCACCTAAATATTCAGAGAAATTACCTTCCACCTTGAGCTCTCGGCGGACTTTTTTGCTTGGGAAATTGTTTTCCAGGGTCAGATGGCAGGCACGCCCTTCCTCACACTCTCCATTTTTAATTCCAATCCTTTTCCAGTTGCCAAATGAATGGAGATTCTTAATCGTTTTAGAGAACATTTTTAGAGAATTTTATGAAAGGTTACATACCGCTAAGGAAAAAAAGATGAGAAGGGGTTAATGATTATCAGATGAATACATGTGGGGGTATTTCTTGTTTCCAACATGCATACAATACCTAAAACACCCTCATCCAGCTATGGCACATCTGCTAAAGCCAACACATAACAAGCATCCTTCCCTTTACACCAGTCTTACTTATGACAAGCTGTGCACTACCGCATTCAGGCCTGCCACCAAGAATTACACAATTCCCCAGTCAGAATGTTTCAATTTGCACTACTCTTGTCATCTCCTGAGTACGAACAAAGGAGAAATTGTCGTCTGGAATTCACAGTGGATTCTCTGTAGGTTACTGTCTCACACTTTTGTTGCATACATGTATATTTGTGCATGAATATATATGATGTAGTTCGAAACAGTGCATCTGTTTTAGAGGACAAGAAAAATGTTACACTTGGAATTGTTACTCCACTTCTGAATAAAAAAAATAAAGCTGAATTGTATATTAAGGAGGTTTTTTTTATTAGAATCTTGTGGAAACCTGTGTTTTATTGGAAAATTATTACATGTGACAGTCTGTTATAATCAGCACTTAAACAGGTGTTATAACATCTAGGTGCTTATCAGTCAGAATGAAGAAGTGTTTGTCATTCCATTATAGAAATGCTTGAAAACGTGTGAATGCACAATTGACATCTTAAACATTCAGCTCACCACCAAATTGTAAGATTTCTGACAGCAGACACAAACATAAACAATTGTATAGTTTAAAGATTACCTTCTTTCATCAGAGTTTCCTGCCTTTTTTTCTCCTATTCCCTTTTTTGGGGGTTTATTTTCTAACTGCAGCTTTCATTTTTTATCACTAAAATCACACACTGAGAGTGCAGTGCGCTAACCATAATTGTTAAAGGAGGACTAGGTTGGAGCCACACATCTTTTAACAGCTCAGTATTGCACCTCCTTTGGGTTGTTGGAGTATGGTACAAGTTACCCAGCAATGCTCTTGGAAGTCCCTACCTTTGCTTCTTTCAGGAAAAGACTGGATGAGATCCACATATCAAGTCAACAGATAGACTTTGGGTCAAATGACCACTTCTTACAACCTTTTTTATGTTCTAAAAAGAGAGACTTAAGGTAATAAAGAAAACAGAAATGAACGTATATTCCACCAAAATTTTTTTATTGTTGTAGAAATCTGAGTTTACAACATTATCATCCGTGTATTCACAAATTCCTGCCTACAGCACTATTTACAGCTGTCTATGAACTGCAAATATAGAACAGACTGAGCATTACAGGCAGTACATACACCATGTCTTATACACTGAGGTATGTGTGATACAAAAGTTCCTAGAAGTTCCCTTCAGTGCTTTGTCAGATTAATATTTGTTGCTGTTCACACATGTGATTTAGGTTTATAGTTGCTGGGAAATAACCTATGGTAAATGTTAAGGCAAGGGAACACAGAAGAAAAAATAAATAGTGAATAAAGTGTCTGGTAGAAAAATGCAGCCAGAATGGTATGGAGAACATTCAGTGAAATAACCCCAAAATGCATTTTTTTGGCTGTAGAAATATTTTACAAATAATCTTAAAATTTGTGACTTAGATGTAACTTTCAAAACTAACTTCCCAGGCACAATACAAAAACATATAGAAATTGACTTGGGTAGTTACAAACCCGACTATGCTTTTAAGGAGGGCTTAAGTTACTTGTATAATGCAATTTGTATATCTACCTGCTGCAGCAGTTTATATTAAACCTTAACCCACATAGTAATAGCGTGTTCAATTACATGCACATGATCGCTAAATTAATTCCACTCCCACATTTTCCCCACAAACGTCTTCAATCTCAAGTATTTTTATAGTTAAATGACTTGAAACTTACTATATTTAATTAATGCTTCTTTTCCCTTTCATTTTAAAAATACTCAACATTTTGTTGGACTGAAATCTTACTGTATGTAGATATTGCGGGAGCAACGCAGAAACCGGAGCCCCAGTCATTATGGCAAAATAAGGCGCTAAAAAGTCATGCTGCTTTTTCATATGGCGCTTTTCAGATAGTGATACGAATGTTGTTTGTGAAATGAAGATGTTCACAGCACTCAGTTGAGATGCTACATTCAACCAAGCCAAAACCAAAATATCGTGTTTGATTGTTCCCCGTCAGGAGTTGTTCTCTGAAGTGGGAAATGCCAGCCAGAAAACTGTAACCACACCCTCCTCTTCCTCTGCTCTGTCAGGACCCCTCTGCTCACTTCCTGGACTTCAGCGCGGTGGCTGCCACGCCCACCAGGATCGCGACCACAGTGAATCCCTGGGCGAATATCCGCGTCCGCATCAGCAGCTGGGACTGGCGGGTCTTGCCACGCTTGAAGGCAATGAGTCCATAGGTGAGGGCTCCAGCCGTGCCCAGACAGCCTGACCAGAAAGAAAACAAGGGGGTTTTAACGCCACATCGTTCAAAAACCGGGAACACGAAGCGTTTCTTTACCCAAGGGCTCGTGAGAACGTGGCACAAGCTAGCCGGCCACGTTGCTGAACGTGACACTCTGGCTTCTTTCAAGAAATAACTGGACCCTTGGATCAATTCGCTGCTAGCTACCCGACAGGCTGGATGGGCCTAATGTCCTCTCAGTTGTAACTGCGCATGTTCAAATCAGACACTAGGATAAAAAGTCCCCGTGGAGCAAGCAGCAGGTCACCTCCTGGGAGAGCCCGGAGGGAGCAAAGGGCAACAGTCACCAGGAAGATGCCAGCGGGTTGATGTGAAATGAGGCCTGCTCACCTTCCTCTGCCAGTGGCCACAGACTTGCAGGAGCCTTCATGCTCTCCTGCTCGACGTCGGCACACTGAAAACCTCCGTTTATAATTACAATTCATTCGTAACCCTGCAAAATCAGAACTCACCTTTGATCTTTCTCTTCCATTATATTACCTGAAAGTGGCAACTTCCTGTATACAGAAGCTGCTTATTAGTTATCTGGAGACATTGATAATGATGTATATAAACACAGTTAATCCCTTATTAAATGTAAACATGGCATAGTCTGCAAGTTATTGGAGCACAATTATGAGGTACTTATTCTCCACTGATACAAGGCTAATAAGCATAGCTTTGGATATTTGACTGCCTTCTTTATTTCATTTTATTCTGTGATAAAAATTACCAATCTTGCTTGCTTCAGGAAATAACCCTTGACGAAGCTGTTTACTACCTCAAATCCTCTCTGCTTATACCCTACTTTTACATCAAGGTGACGAGAACAGCTTGGTGACTGACAAGCCAGGACATTTACACACGTCTGCACCCAGAATGACTTAGCAGTTTTACCTCAGTGAGATGTAGCCTGCAGCTCTCAACTGGCAGCCCACTGAAGCTAAGCAGGGTTGAGCCTGGTCAGTACCTGAGTGAGAGAGCTCCTGGGACGCTATGGTTTCTGCTGGAAGTGGTGTTAGTGGGACCAGCGGGGGGCGCCCACCCTGCGGTCTGTGTGGGTCCTAATGCCCCTGTCTTTCCGATGAGACGTTAAACCGAGGTCCTGACTCTCAGTAGTCATTAAAGATCCCTGGGCATTTCTCAATAAGAGTAGGGAGTTATCCCGGTGTCAGGGCCAAATTCCCCCCCTCAGCCTTTACCGTGGCCTCCAAATTGCCCCCATGTATGACAGGCTTGCACTTGCCCTGCGATGGACTGGCACCCCGTTCAGGGTGTACCCTGCCTCGCGCTCGTAGGTCCCCTGCTGCCCGCGACACCGTATGGAAAAAGCGGTTTGGTAACAGACATGACCTCAGTGAGATATTCAATGTCTTTGAGATTTTTTTTTTCATTGAACAAAGCATAAGTAGTGAATGAGTAGTCTGTACCTACATAAAAAGCAACAATAGCAACATAATGCCCGCATGCTTTGCTTTACGCACGTCGAAAACGTTCATGGAAAAAATGTAGGTTTCTTTTTTCTATAAAAGGAACAGGAACAACCCACAGCAACCACGGTTAAAATAAAAGGTAATACTGTCAACTCTGTGCTAACACCCTGCTTTTACATAGTTGCAGTTGTATAACCGTAAGACATTTATGTAACTCACCTATGGGCACAAACGGGTTTTCCTTAGTTTTTCTGATAAACTTGGCTTTGAACCCTTCCTCTCTGGGCCTAGGAGCAGGAGCAAATCCTTCGATTACAGGGGGTTTAGTCAAGTCGAACCCCACAGATCCAGAATGAACTGTCTCAGAAACCTGAGTTTGCCCTACAGGCGTTGTGGCAGCAGCCATGTTTGCTTTCCGGAAGAAGCTCGGTCACGTCACGGCGTGAGCGCACGCAAAGCGAATTTCGCGATTGGTCAGCCTGCGACAGTGGGCGTGGTTTACACAAAGACGAGTGTTTGTTTAATTCTCGTAAATGATTGGTCACGCTAAAGAAATGGGCGGGGTATGTGTGTTTTTTTTTGTTCCCTGTGGCTGAGTTTCAGTCTCCTATAATTTTATGATATTGTAGTTCGGGACAGCTGAGCTCTGAACTGCTCAGATCCCTGGCAGAAGACACATGCTTCTGTAGGTCAATTTCGCAATCAATATATTTATTGACGAGACTTCATTGGATCATCCAAATGTTGATCGGTGACACTTAAAAGTTGTAAATTGCTTTCCTTTTTCAAAGTGTACGGCAAATTATTTAAATTGTATGCAGTTACACTCATCATAGTGTATGAATAGTTGATATGCATAATACTATTTAAATACTAAATAAATACAGCTTTTTTAATTTAAAAAGTCATCAGTTGTTCGTCATTTATTTTTATGGATTTTCCGTACACTACCTTTGTATATATCTGGAAGTAGAAAGCGCGCACTTTTTTATTTTTTTTGTTTTATTTTAATGAATTTTTAATTTGCCCGTCTACACTAAAATCAACGGTCTCCCTCTGCTTTAACAGACTTGTAAACCACCCAGATCAATCAGTCAGATACACTGCACGGGACATCCACACTCCGGAGTGTTGTGGGAGGTCGGGGTCTTTAGACACCAGGCTTAAAACTGAGGCAATTTGTCAGAAGATAAGTGAAAAAGAAAATGCATTTCACACTTTCCAGCTTTCTCAACAGAAAATCAATTTCGCTTTGTGAAGTATTAGAGTTCTCGATCCAGATGCCAAAAGAGATTTCACTGGTGACCAGAATGCAGCTCATAATTTTTTTTAAAAAAAACGACTCTTGATTTGTATATAATTGAATGTATAAATACATGGGATCATAATTTCCAACCAGCACACACGGAAAACAGCGAAGCATTTCACACAGTTGGAGAAACTGGAGGTCTTCTGAAGGTGTTAGGTGCAAACGGTAGAAACAGTATTGTCGAACAGAACATCTGCTAAATCTTACTGCCCAAGGATTGAAGTGAGTGACCACTCCTCTCTCTGGCAGTTTGCAAAATGCTCTCAGCACGGTCATTCTCATAAACAGCTTTTCTGAATTCTTAGCAAAATAATATTATCCACTGCTTTTATTATATTAAATGCTTATTGTGTTTTGTCTGTGACAAACATAATTAGACTGTAAATCCCTTTTTTATGTCCATTAATGGCTATCTTGCGTCAAGAAGGAGTTAACTTCTTCAGATGAATCATAACAGTACTTAGTTTAAGATTTTGAGGATGAGATTTTCCGCAACTCGTGACATTTCTTTTACAATATTACATACATCGTGCCTGGTCCGTACTTCTGCAAAGATTCGCTGACTCTGGTGCGCTTTCATATAAACGAACATTTTCCAAGCTTACTGATAAGTAGAAATACTTCTGGCAGAAAATAAATGTAAGTATTTTATTTATTAAATAACTTTTTTTCACCTGATGTACTTCACAATCCCGCAAGTACACATTTGCTACTTGAGTTGACAAGGAAGGCATGACTAGTGATTTTTCAAAAGCAGTTGGCAGATTGTAACTGATAATTGAATGCACAGTGGGATGCTATAACTCACAGAGCTCAGAAAAATATCTGTCTGCTGAACAAGGCTAATCTATTAATTTAAGAGTTTTCGAAATTCATTGAAGACGTGCTGTGGGAATTCTTAAAGATTCAACATTAATTTAATAGGTTTTAATGAAATGTAGGCATTATAGCACTGATAGCTGTTCAATTTTATGAAAGAATATTTAGGTCAGGAAAATTAAGTAGATTTGTACATGTTATTAAGGTTTTAAGTACACTGAGATCATTCCAAATAAATAAATAACATTCATAATTGTTAATAGGCAGACACATAGCTAAAGGCTTTTAAGAATGGGCAAATTACAGTGTACCAATAAATATAACACTTAAATATTACATTTTCTATATGAGAAATAAAGACTTTTGCCTCAAAAATTATTATTAAATAACTAAATATTGTGTACACAACATAGACCTTTTTTTTGCTTTTTTTCACACACAGCTTCTTATATTCTACATATTTATGTGCATCTATACATATAATATAAACACAGGATTTCCGCATTAATCTATAAACACCCACACATCTTTTTGTAACATGATTCATTTTATAGCTCTAAAATTGCCAAATAAAATGACATTTTCAACACAACCTCTCTTTTTGCAGTTTCAGGATGACTACTCTCACACCGGATGCTTTGCAGGGAACATTTTATGCGATGTCAGCACCAGTGAGCGCAACTGAGAATGCTAAAGACAATGTATCGTCAAATTCTTCCACTGGGGAGGAAGCAAGCTATCGATGTATTGACTCCACCAGCTTCCAGTTTGTCCTCCTCCCTCTTGTGTACACGCCAGTCTTCGTCTTGAGCTGCCTTGGAAATGGAACGGCCCTGTGGCATCTGTGCAGAACCTGGCGGAGGTCTTCTCAAGCCAAGGTTTTCATCATCAACCTGATCATCCTCGACGTCTTGTTCACCTTGTGCCTGCCGCTCCAGATTTCTTACCACGCCCTTGGCAATATGTGGGTTTTTGGAGAGGTGATGTGTAAAATAACGAGTTGCCTCTTTTTCAGCAACATTTACAGCTGCACCCTGTTCCTCACCTGTGTTTGTGTGGACCGCTACGTAGCAGTGGTGCATCCCATCAAGTATCTCAGACTGCAGAGACCGTTGTACCGTGTTGTGGTGTCTTGCATCATCTGGCTGATGTTTCTCTTTGTTGTCATGTTCATCTTCTCCAAACGCACCACCAATGTGCTTCCAGATGGCCGGATCGCGTGCATGGAAAACTTTTCCTCCAAGTCATGGAGCAGCAGATTGGCCGCCATAAACATCATGTCTTCCATTGCGGGGTTCTTCCTTCCTTTCAGCGCCACATTGACCTGCTACGTCCTGATCGGGAAACGGATCATGGCCCTGACTCGGGGGAAGCAGAGCACGCTGCACTTAAAGAAAAAATCCCTCAGGACCATAATGGTGGTGATCGGGGTGCTCACCGTCAGCTTCCTGCCTTACCACATCATTCAAACTCTGCACACGTTGGCTCGGGTTCGAGTTCTGCCCAGCTCTTCCTTGCTTCGTTTCACCTGTGGCGCCCGTAAAGTAGTGATGGGTGTAGCCAGCCTCAACAGCTGCTTGGACCCTATAGTGTACTACTTAAGTGGAGAGGACATAAAGTTTGAATTGCCCTGCTTCTGTAAAGAGAACATCACAAGCTCTACAGAAACCACATCCAATACCCAAAGATAATAAAGAGCTTCAAAGTTTAAACTATCCCACACTAAGCAAATAATTAACTAATTGAGACATTCCACACACAGTTACAAAAGCTGTGTACTGGTTGCTGTTCTCCACTTTGTCCTCACTATTCAGTGAGTAGTAAGCTCTTAACAATCAGCCTTAGCCTGAAGTTGAAATCTTGCTTGAAAACAGTTATTAAAAAAGCTTGAGTGTCACGATCGAAATCCCTCCTCTTAAGGGCGCTCCGGTCCTTTCGTAATTGAGTTGATTTCATGCACCTGCCACCTGTTTAGTCCGTATTTAAGCCTGGCGCTCCCACTATTCCTGGCTCAGCACTGGGAGATGGACGCTCGGAAGCCTGCCTACCCACAGTTCCAGGAAAGACCCGATGACATAGACTTCATCACAGCGTCCTGACCATCTGAGTCCGGGACTCAGAGCGCCTGGCCCCCTTACCCTGGTTTTATTCCCAGTCCCTGTTCCAGATCTTGTTCGGGGTTTTTTACTGTGTTTGTCTCGTCCCCTGGATCCCCTGGTTTTGGACCCTGGATTCCCCCTTTTGGACTGTCTGGATCTGTTTGGCGTTGCCACGCCCCCCGAGCACTGGATCACCGTCGTCACGCCCCCCTGTGTGTCTACCCGTCCTGAACCTCTACGTCTTTTCCCTGTTGTCCTTCTCCACTTACTTCCGGATTATGCCGTCTGCATAGGGTCCTGAACTATGCTTTGCGGGAGCCTGGACCGGCCCCCGTTACGTTGGGGGCTTTCAGTCTTGTTGCTGCTCAAAGGTTTCACTTACTTAGTATCACAGACAGTTCTTATTTTTTAAAAAGGTAGCCTGGTGGATGCATGTAAATATTGTACTGTATTGTGCTTAACACGGTAAACAATCAATAATGTTTTTCTTTGTCACTTAGGGGATGTACTGGAATCACATTTACAAAAAACTTCAAAATATAAAATCACACAAGGATTTCCCAGTCCTCATGTGAGCACTGTTAGAAAATTATTTTTGGATCAGTCACAGAATAGATGTTAAACTTGTAATATAAAGGATGCATGTACAGGGATTAATTATTTCTTCAAAAACTTCCAACTAGGTGTGAAGGTTTACCTACTGTCAACAAAGCACATTAAAGATAAGAAACTTAGATGGGAACAGGTCAGAGTCCTGAAATCATTCAGATTTTTATATTTGTTCATTTTAATCAAAAGCGCACCGTTCTTTACTGTGTGGCAGAATCATATCTTACCAGTAATGAACTCAGTGAAGAAATATCTTTGCAAGAATATAACTTAAAATTACGAGAGAAAGCATTCCCAGGTGGCTATTTTTTGGAGCAACACCCAAAATTATATGAATGGACTTGTATTTGTTATCAACCCAGTACAAATTTCTTGGTTTCAGAACGGTCCTCATTCAGGTCTGCTGCCTGAAATGTAACAAAGTGGACCTCAGCAGAAAAAAACGCTCCTTGTGGGACTGTGTGATAACAGTGTCATTCCCCATGCGTCTGATCAAATCCCAAGAGCTGTTTACTCGGAAATAACAGCAAGCAACCTGAGAAGAGCCTGCATGAAATTCTGTGTGCAGAAGCTGTTGGAAAAAGGTACCCTTGAAGTTTTGACACTCAGGACTGACCGAAGAAACAAGTGAAATAAAAGTCTAAGCAGACCAATCAACTCATCAATTAGTACTGGAGATGAAAAACTAAGGTATAATGACAACCATCAGACAGTGTTCCTCCAGGACTGGGATTGACAGCTGCTGATCTAGGTTATTGCATTTTCCAGGGATTTGCAAATCCTAGGATACAGCACAGCATGATCATGACATGTTAATACATTTACAAGAAAGTGTGTGTGTGTGGGGGGGTGTATTCATTGTATATAGTATATGTATATTATAAAAAGGAAATGACACTATGATGTTATTATTTAGTTCCTCAGTAGAAATTGCTCAACAGGCAATTTCTTGTTGTGACAAGAAAGGGATGTAAGGAACAGCACTAGTTTCGCTGGGGAATTTCCTCATTTTACAACATTCAGTTTTCATATAATTGGCTATGATGCCTGAAATTAAAGAATTTCCCTAACAATAAATAATTTTCAACAATAATGAAATACCTCATCAGAAAAGTGCCAATTTTGGGTGTATGAACCATGTTGAGGTATTGCTGTACCACGAGTATGAAACTGTAAGATTCCTGTAAATGCAATATTAAATTCATTTTTGTTTAATAGTTATCGGCAATCTCAGCAAAACTGGCTAAGAGCTGCAGTTCAGTAGTTATTGTAAATCAAATTAACTCTCATTTATATGTACATTTATCTGGAATAAACAGGCTGTAAATGTCTTATTCCGTTTTTGAACAGTACTATATATAACATTACTTATATTTGTTCTTGTGCAAAGAAAAACTGATTTATTTCTTATCTGGTTGTCTACGATAAGCGTTTTAAAGAAAGGAAGAGTTCGATGAGGATATTTAAGAGTTCTGAAATTGGTCTTTTCTAAACTTTACTCTATCTCCCTTCTCCCTTAACTTCTTCTTTGATATAAAGGCTCACCTGCTTCTTTTGTATAAAGATGTTCATCCCATTTAAAGTAGTTAAATGCACTTCTATGTCATTTCCACTTGGTTCCTCTGGTTAATGATTTACTGTTTATTATAAAAGCATAGAATTGTTGTCATAAGAACATAAATGTCCAGATATGTCACTGTTAATTTATGTACTGATGTACAAAACCTGTTTACATGCTTTATCAGAAAATTGTGTTTAGAGGATTTTGTTGTCACAGCTCAGTACCCTTTTCTACTAAATCTCTAGATAAAGCCAAACATTTTATGCCTTCTTAAAATATGTGTAGACAAAATCAGCACAGATGTTCAATTCATGCGTGTCTCACAACAGAAAAAAAAGAATCCAAATTAAATCCTTGGTGACATTTTTGGTCAAGGATTGTATTCTGATTGTAACACACCAGTGAATTTAAAATATGGAAATCTGAGGCTGTGCTTTTAAGCAACATTTTAACCTTGGCTCATTGTTAAAGACTGCATTACACCACAGCTCATGACAACTTAATCCGCTTACAGTGGAAAGTTGCCAGTATCATTCAGTCATACAGGTCTGTGTTTCCTTATCACATTTCTTTCTCTTCATTGTGAAATAAAAAGGCACTGAAATTAAAGCAATTTACTAACAGCGGTGTAATATCTCAGTTTTTCAGATTTGCTTTATTGAAAGTTGCAAGGACAAAGACAAAGACAAATCAGAACATGGATTTTAGCAGCTAGCAAAAATCTGATAAAAAAACATTGTTGCTAATATCAGTAGATAGAAAGCCATTTTTGGTCCATTTTTATGTTAATTTTTAAAATATTTGACAGCTGATTATGTGTGATGTGATTACATATTATAATATATGTTAGAATATTTATCAACATTGATTGCTTTTGATTAACCTGAGACATATATGGATTCATAATCTATCACGCACGTAAGACTCCCATGAGATAAATCATTTGAAATGAGAAGCCAATTTGGTATTCTAGTGCCAGAAAAGTCTGGTGTTAGCGAATATGAATAGTTTATTGGCAATAATTGTGAGATTAATGAAACTCAACACTTACACTCTAAATATATTTAGGCCGGATGTGGCTTATCGCCAGGAAACATCAGGATTCTGAAGCACTTCCAAGCAAAGATGTGGAATTGAGTGGAGTTGATGTGCTTTGAATTCGTCTGGCTGGAAGTTTGGAATTAGATCAGATTAATGTTGAGCTTACACAATCAATGGAAGTCAATATGTTATTAGACTTTTAAACCTGTCTCTACATGAATAAACAATCAATGAGCTCACCCTTTAATCACTTCGCTTTAATCATCGTTGTTAGTTATTAACATGTTCCTCTTTCTAATAGAGTCTATACATATTAATCAAAATTATGAATACCGAAGGACTGCTGTTACTTGAAGCATTTTGGTTAATAACCCTGTGGTAGCACATTTCTGGCCTGTTAAAATCCCAAAGCATACGCCAACATGTTTTACATTACAGCCAGGATTACTGAGAGGCGCGTACTTGCCCAAGTTTCGTAAGAAAAAAAGTGTCTTCCCAATATTTACTGACATTTAAAATCATCGAGGCAGGAGCAACTGTAAACGAGCAAAAAGAGAAACGACATACACAACAGAGGGAGCTGTTTAGCAGGGTTGGACTGAAAGTCCTTCTGTTTCACTGGGACAACGGGAAAGAGCGCTGTTAGGAATGGTAAGACATTAAAGGAGTGTCTGGAGGTAATTCATTCATATAAGCGGGGTAGGTTTGGAAAAGTAGCTGGAACCTCCACCACGCAGAAATTCACGTTTCAACAAATTCAGAAAAACACCATCTCACGCCTCCTCTTTTAACTCCAATAACTGGAGGGGCTGGAGATTAATTTTGTATATTTTGTATCGAATGCAGAAAGTAATATTCCAATACACGGAAATAATCTAAGGGTGACATTCTTTCAAACACCCGATGTTTTTAGTTCTGGCGATGGTAAAGTGATCTCCTCTTCTGCATTACTCCCGGTAGCCAGGAGATGGAGACAGCACAATACAAAATGTACAAAAAAATGAAGTTCCGCAAACTATTGATCTTGATTTTGTTACAGTCATATAGAGCCCAGAGCCTCTGGGCGTTTTTGTACTGAATTAAGTTGTTCTGAAAATAGTCATGTACATAAATCTACATTAAATACTTTTCATTTCTTTCTTTTAACAAGTACATGAAGGCATACACGACATATGTCTTATGTTTAGCCCGCTGTTACAGAAATAAAATACCGTATCCTAAAGGTACCCGCTGAGCTATGAATAGGAAACAATAAGCAGATGTTCTAGATGTCTCTAGTCATGTCAAACAGCGAAGCCAAGGTTTGATTTGTCTATTGGCCATGATGAAACCGCTGAATTTTTGTCTCTATTGATTTAACATGTTAGAATGGGTTTTATATAAGATGCTAAAAATTCAACAACACTGCGTTTCAAATTGTGAGTGCATTTAGAATTCAGAAATAGTGAACGACCTTAAGTTCAAATGTACTCCCAGTTGAAATGATCGGTTTTCTTTTTGAACAGTTTATTGCCATATACCTACAGGAACTAGCTTGGGGTGAAGATTGTTGAAACTAATTGAATACAACTTATACAAAATAAAGATGCCATTCGTTATAATCTTTTCAGAACACTGGGAATCCTCTCCGTTGCTGCACATTTTAATGTTTTGATTCTAAAAAAAGTAGAAAGTTGAACAATGGTTAATTTTTGTTGCACGGCAGCCGCTATAATCTAGAATGCAGTTCAGTTGCATAGGTTACTCGGAGCCCTGTTTATTTAAACCTATCATTCGCAGGTTAAGTCGCTTCTGTAAAGCGCATCAAGCTAACAGCTCTCTCGTCTACTCTCATCATCTCGATCGTGGGTGTGCAGGAGGGCATTGGGACCCTATAGTTAACCAGGGATGGAAGAATTGACTGCACCCTACAGCTGGATCTGTTGGAGTGCCTTCTAAGGAGCTCGGAAATGTTCAGGTCTCTCACAGAGTGCTTTGGTCCCTAGACCTGAGCCTGGAGCACTTAGCTCTGTTGTTCACGACACTGTTGTTTTTTTATGCAGCATACCTCCACTGGGTCATAAAGAACAGTAATTGTCCATAACCAGGATTTGTACTTGCTTCCATGAAAGGCATCAAAGGATGTTACCATTTATCCCCAAAATTGACAAAAAGGATGACGTCACAATTCTTGGAGAAAGCAACAGCACAGCAGCAATAATTTCAACCAGCGTTTAGATAGCAGCTGTGTGCAAAATTCAGCTGTGGCAGCATTTTCAGTTTCAGTGCAAAGGCAAAAGGCAGTGCGGAATCACACCTATGGCTACATTTCCCAGAAGTCAATGAATCTACCAGTATGTGTTTGGATTGTGGGAGAAGACTGCAGCACCCAGAGGGGGAACATACAAACTCCACACAGATAGCACCCCAGGTCTGGAATTGAACACAGGACTCTAGTGTGAAAAGCCAGCAATAACAAACACTATGCCACAATGCTGCCCTAAATATTAAGAATTATGCAAACAGTTTTCCTACAACACTACGTTTTTAGCATGGAATAACAATTGTTCCTTTGGACGCACCAAGTGGAGAACTATATAGTGTAGTGATTCCTGAGAATTTTTTTAAATTCTACATTGTTTGTCTTTTCTTGGCAGCCATGCTTAAATCTACATAAACATTTCCTTTTCAGAGAGCCGGCTTGTTCCATGCTTCAGGTTAGTGATAATTAGGTAGATTCATTCCTGCAGCTCTTTAGATCTGTGATCTCCTTATATGGGCACTTTCTAGCGCACAGAAAAAGAACTCCGCTAGACCTGTATTGAATAGTTTTCCTGTCTGATAAAGCATTCTTCAGATCAAAGACCTGTGTTCAGCACATAAACAAAGATGAAGCAATACCTGGTTCAAAGAAACATTTCAAAATCTTGATTTGAAATAAATCTGGGAATTCCAAAGTGTGACTTGATTTTTCTTGGGTTTTATTTTCTTCGGTTCGTTCGTTCGGAACCGATTCGTTCCAGATTTTAACATGTTTTTGGCCCAAGGAAGAATCTGATTGTTTCTGTTGCTTTTTCATTAGTGAAGCTGAAATGTGTTTGATGTTTTGTTGTAGCAAACAGCTCATTAATTTATTTTATATAAAAGAGGCAGTGGTGTTAGTAAATACAGTACACTATAGATTGATTTGAACTCTGATAATATTAGGTATTTTAGTTGATGAACATGAGGAGGAAATAATCTGGCAAAAAATGGATGCTCAATTTTATTTTCTAGGTACATTTTTTAAGAACAAAAAAAAACAGACTTCACTGGAGTTTAACTCAAGGCAGCAAAAGAAAACATAGAGCTGCATTTCACCCAAAGTAGTCTTCTGTTCACTGTCGGATAACTGACAAATGTTTGTTACCTGGGAGGGCTTTCTGGCAAGTGATGAGGAAAGCTGTATCTAAAAAAAGCACGCTTCGGAATTTTTATAGGAATGATTCTGTATGCATAAAATACATAAGCACCTTTAAAAGAAGTTACATAATGAACTAGTGGCAGAGGATAGTGATTAAGGTTGTGGATTCATACTGTAACTAGCTTCTCCCTGCACACACTGGTATTGTATCACAAGAACATAACAAAGGAAAAGAAAGGCGGCCATTCAACCAGTCTAACTTGCTTGGCTGCTGGTTGGAGGATCACATCCGACTGCTTTGTGAAATAAGCCAGGGTCTTCGTCGGCTTCAGTGACATGAACTTTCCAATAATTCCTACCGGTGTCCTTATATTCAAATACTCCCCTCTTGCTTCTGAAGACGTCTGTTGGGTTGGCTTTGTCGTGGTCTTTGGGGGCTCAAAATTTGTGAATCACATTGTTCCTTCTTCTCTGTTCAAGACTAAGAAGATTCAGTTCCTTCAGCCTGTCAGGGAGGGACAGTTCCCTGAACCACAGGAATGTACGTGGTTGCTCTTTTCTGGACTGATTCCAGAGCACCGTATTGTCTTTTGTATTGCAGTGACTGAAGTATTGTGGTCAACGCTGCTCTTGCCAAACAGCAGTGGAGTTGAATTGGTTAGGGTGTCATGTTATTATACAGAAATGATGGAAGATCAAGACTAACAGTAATACATCATTTATTTATATAGCGCCTTTCCAAACCCCAGGGTGCTGTACATAGTGATAAAGAAAAGCACAATAAAAAGTAATTTTTAAAGTAAAGAATTTTAAATTTACTGTAAATTGTAAATGTAAAAACGTTCTGTATTGTTAGCAAAAAACCCAAAACAAACATTTGCTAACACTACAGAAATCAACTGGGATCCCGAAAGCTAAAATAAAATGCCAACATGACATTTCAGCTGGGTTCAGGGACATCATAAAACCAGCACTCTCAAGTCGATGATTAGCATGGGGGGTCATGGAAAAGTCGAGCGCTGCAAATTATACACCACTTTTATTCCGCAGCTGGGATTCGTCGAGCAAAACGATCTAGGTGCTTAGTTGTAAAGACGAGCTGGCTGCAGGTCAGACGTGTGTGTTGAGCGGCGAGATGGGAGAGCGCAGCACCGCGCAGCGCATCGCAGTCCCATGCCAGCTTGTACCTGTAGATGGAGCGCGGAGAATTCGTGGCAGCGCTCCCAATGACGTCACCCGGGCTGTAGGTTTTTCCTTGTCTATAAAAGGAAACAGAAGGCAAGTTTACGGCTGCTCGTGGATACAGTTGGACTGGCTTACAAGGAAAACTTAGCACATAGTAATTAACTTTTTTAAAGTGCAAAGATAAAAAAAAAAAGATCGTTAACGATGTCCGCCAGCCAGAAAGAGGCTCCGGAGGTAACTGCCATATAACACGATTGCTTTTGCGAGTTACACAATATTTGTGTTCTGTTCTCATAAAAAACGTTTACATGGCTCTGGTAATATCTATACAGTAAAAGTTTTTTAATGGAAGTTTTGTTTGGCGTTGGCGTTTGGAGGCGGAGAAGAGGGAGTGGTCCACTCTTTTCCTAATTCAACTTTTTGTAAATTGTTCTTTTAAATTTTATAGGGCAGGGTGCTCAGAGATTGAATCCTTCTGCACAGACGAGATGTGTTTTCATAAGGACGTTATCTGCGGTTTTTTTTGCGTTTAGACCTAAGTAATCAAACGCGATCTTTGCAAGTCTGAGCAACGCTGCGTGGATAATTTGGGTGGGTCGAGATTTGTGATCACGAAAGCTTCTTGAGAGTTTCCTTTTGTAAGCTGGCTGTGAATCCGTTCGTGTAAAGGCGAATCAAGATCGTGCACTTAGCATTTTTTTCAAGTGCTAAAAGAGCGGATATTTCATGTTCGTGGATGTTAAGTTATGCTGCGTTTTTTTTAAGTTGGTGCACACATTGTCCCAAAATAAACGCACTGATATCATTTTGAATATTATTCAAATAGTTTTAATGTGACAAGAAAAGTGTCAATTTCTGATTGCATGCCAGCAAGCAAACGTTATGTATTAATCGAGATCTCCTCTATCGTTTCAAGAATTGCTTAGCTATTTGCTTGGGTCAACATTTAACCTGAAATGATCAAACACTCGTCAGGTCACCGATATTATTTGTTAATGTCTTTTTTTGGGGGGGGCTGTAAGTGATGTGGTTTTGTTTAGTATCTATATTGCTGTGGTTAAGATGTATGAAAAGGAATAGATGGTACTGTATATAATTGTCACCCCCCTACCAAAAAAAGTGCATTAGTGTTTTTATGGTGACGTCGATCAAAAATAAAGATCTAAAGTCCTACAGATTCAATATATGAAACGTGACAACACTTTCGTTGTTGTCCGAACCGAGCAATGTAAAACTTCACTAACGAACTTGGAATTGCGTTATCACCTTAGGACAGGGCAGGTGTTTTTTTAGCGTTAGTGCCCTCTGAAAAGAGAATCTCTTTCTGTATTGTATAGATCAGCGTTATTTTGTGTAATGCTTTATCTTGGAAAGATATTGCGAATTCTGTGAATGGCATTCTGTTCTGAAATAGATCTTGGTATATGCAGGTATGCTAACCTGATTTTGGTCATTTATCCGCCTCACAGTTTTTTAACGTACCCATTTATACAGTGAGGTATTTTACTGGTGTAATTTGAGGGGTGTACTTTGCTGATGTTTACTTTATAAGTACAGTAGTGCCTCACCTAGCCTTGAAATCCATATACATTATATTGCTGTAAACACAGAGCATCAACCTCTACTCCATACAGCTGCCTGTACAGTTTTCATTTGTAATTTTCAGACCAGAGGTTTTTTTTTTATTATATCCTAAAAATGTAGGAATGTAGAATTTATTCTTGGATATATGGGAGGTCCCTTCTACCTCGTAAACATCGCTGAATGCCTTGTCCTCAGTGGTCAAAGCTCTTCTCACATTTTTGGTTCTACATTACTGAGGTTAAGTGAAAATCAATGCGTTTCCCTGAGCCCGACAGCTAATCAGATCTCTGTAACATGGTCAAGAAACACTACAAGGCTACATGCCAATAGTGTATTTTACAAACCTTCACTCTCCTGACCTACCCTCGCTCACAGTTTTCTGAGTTTGACACATACGAGGAAAGGTTTTCATGGTTTAACACACTAGCATAGTGACTGCAGAAGTGTGGCAGAAAAGTCAGCTGGAGTTGCGGTGAGTATTGTAGGTTTTAAGGCTCAGCTACAGAATTTCTCTCGTGTAGAGGGCAGTTCCAATGAGTTTTTGATCTGGACCATGTACTGTGTTGTGGGTGTGTGTGCATGTTGGTGTTCAGCTGGTGGTACTCTTGGCATTAGTTGCACCATTCTGTAGTGAGAAGACGAAAATTGCTTTTCATATAACGGCTTACTGCTTATAAAAATATAAGATGTAATTGTGCTAAATCCTTTGGATGTCTTTTTTTTTTTGTCTGACCTTTATGAAGCCTTTGTTGAAAGAGGGTTTTGCCATGTGATATATATATATACTACTGTTGAATTAGCCATTTATATTTGAAAGGAATTGTGTACATTGGACTGTGTTATTTGACACTCATGCTAGGAATGTTGCAGGGTATTGTTCTTCCATCTGCATAACATTGATCAGTTAAGACCCTTGTTCTACCCGTCTGATGCTGAAATATTGAAACTCGCCTTTATTTGATCAGACTACCGTAATTCCTTAAATATGGGGATGTTTGTATGATATTCTAAAAGGGCTCGTTATATCCAGAACTTTGTGGCTTGTCTGCTTTTTGAAAGTATTCTACTGTACGTCAATGCTAACTCCTGTCCCCTGTGAATTGAACTTGCTGCAGTCTGCTGATTTGGGCTTTGCCAACGTATTCAAATGAAGATCAGGATCGACACAAAGGCTAACTTGAGTCTTTTTCTTGTGTAGTATCACATCTGTGTGAAGTTTCAAATGCAAATTTATATGTACATTTTGCAGGATCAAGTAATTGAAGAAAACGGGGTCAGAGAGCAGTCCTAGTTTTTCAAGGAACATTGCAAATCTCAAGCACAACCTCTTGAACGTTCGGCTGTATATCAGTTGAATTTGTAGGGATAATAGGAGCTGTTTTAAGGAGGCACATGCTAATGAAATCAATTTACATATTAATTTCCTAAATACTTAGTCGGAGATTGTCTGGGACCTGTAAGAAAACTTTGTAAGCACATTCTGGGTTCAGCTTCAGAACACAATCAGCCAGGTAAGAAAACCAGGACAGAAAATCTATTTTTGCAAACAAGAGCCATAGAAACAAATGGGTTTCTCACAACACCGGTGTGAGGATGAAGGGGATGTAATGCCAATGGATTAGACACTGCTG